CAATAAAACAAATCAAGACATGGAAAATTGAAGTAGTATTCTTTATTTTATTTCAACTTATTTTATTCTAGCCATCATTACCATATAGTAGATGCAAATTTTATTTTTATTTAGAATATGCGCATGATTACTAAAATCAAACCTTCATTCTGGGTCTTAGACTGCTGTAGATTATTTGCTGAAAGTTTAGGAAACTGAAACACAAAAATTATTTCTGAATGCAGTTTTTACACCTTTCTGTAACCAGCAGGCAGACACATCCTGCAAATCCCTTCCTGCCCACTGGTGGCACAGGATATCCCTTTGTGAAGACAAAGTTTAGACTGGGAGTTCAGCTACTGTCTAACATTGCAATGCTTTCACTATGAGGAAGCAAAATTGTGGCCATTAAAGAAAAGTAATTCTTTAGCAATAACCTTTAGAATAATTCATGCCTACTTCAAAACAGCAGTATTGCTACACCTACTGAAAAGTTCCAGTCGAAGATCTTTATGCCAAACAAATTGTTTGACAAAATAATTGCAGTGTAATATTTCAATATGCATTATAAGATATATAATATATATACTACTTCAGTAAGCATTCTTTTGTTTTACAAAAAAGGAAATTACTCTCCTTGCAGTTTAATCATCAAACTAGTATTCTGATTAATCTTCAAATTTAGATAAAGCTAACCTATCATGTGGCCTGTAAGCCCAAAGCCTGACTTGCTTCAGGCCCTTAATGCAAAAGAAGGGCTCTACAGGTAAGTGAGCATAAGTGTTGCCACTACAGCCCCAATGAGGAAAATGCTGGCTATGAACTTCACCCCTACTCTTCACCAGGACACCTTCTTAAATACAAAAACATTTGTAAATCTCTACCTTTGTCTTCTGTGAAAGTGGCTATTGACTTGTCTCACATATCAAAGGTAATTTGATTTTGCAGGTCAGTCCAAAATGGATCTTCACCTAATTTGAGTCTGTTGAAATATATATGGATTTTTTGTTAAAGCTTTAAGGAAAAAATAAAAATCAATTGAGATGCTGAAAGCATTTATTCAATTTTTCTACAACAAGGTACAGTATTACCTTGTTAAATGACTGAATCAAATTGCCACTCACCCCAAGAGAGGCAAGGCACCTTGTCCCTTTTTTTATTAGCTCTAACAAAGCTTATAACTGATTTCAGATGGGCTAATGGGTATTTAATACCCCAAACAACTTTTCTAGCACATTATTTAAAAAAAAACCCCAAACAACAATGATCTATTCACTGTTATATAACAGGTTTAGATGATTTTGATACTAGCCCATTTAAAGGTATTTTGTGGTTTATCTTTTTTTAAAGTAAAACAATAAAATGAAAAACTGAGAAGTAAAGAAAACAATTACTTTCACAGGAGCTTTGAATATTGTCATAAGCGTCCAGCAGATCATAATACCAACAACTGCTTTATGAAAGGCTCCTCTGCTTACCCACTCTTTAGGGATTCCAGGATGATGTATTATTTTTACAGAAATTTAAGGAGTATATTTAAAGGATAACTTTGAACCAAAAAGACCAAACTGTCAACAAGAGTCAGAAATAGCTGAGATGTCAGTAAGAGAAACAAGCAATAAAACCAAAACCAAAACAAAACCACAAAAAAAACAACAACAAAAAAAAACAAAACACCAAAAAACAAAACTTGAGAGAGTTGAACAATTTGGCTATCTTCCTGACAATACTTTAATGTGCAGGCTTTGTTTTCTGAAGGAACAAGCACACTCTAACTTAGAAGAACCTGCGGAAGTAGGATCTTTCCCTCCCTGAGTGATTTGCATTCCTTATCAGAAACACTTGCCTTACTGCTTCAGTTCTAATTGTTTTCACATTTTAAAGCCTCTGTGAATGGACAGCCTGGAATTCCCCAGTAAAAGTCAAAGTCTACCAAGCTGCAGCACTGTCAGAGCTCAGGATCCCAATAACTAAAGTGTGCATTTGATCTAACATTGTATCTGTCATGTAACAACACAGCTCGTTTTCTTTTCATGCAATGAAAGCACTGATATTTCCATTTTGTAATGGGCTTTAGAAGTAACCACACATGGATCTAATTCAGAATTCAGGTGGTCTGAGCATGCACTGGTAACACCATGTTTGGGTTTGAACCCACATGGACTCACTTAAGAGCTGGACTTGATGATCCTTTTTGGTCTTTTTGGATCTTTTGCAACCCAGAATACTCTGTGGTTCTGAATTTTCTTTTAGATTTTGCTGCTTTCCATGATCTCCAAATGTATGCAGTACTTTCAGGCTTTACATAATCTCAAATTTTAATTATTGTACATAATTGGGTATTGAACTGTAACATACTTCTCAGTTGTAGAAAAGACCTTCTAGCTTTCAATCCTGTATTTTGATTTGTTAAGTCAATAAAACTATATTGGAAAGTTACAGAGAGCAAAAAGGAGTTTTACAAGTGTCTGAAATACACAATTATTGCTATATTAAAACCATCCTTTACAAGTATTTTACAGAACCCAACATCCTATTGTCATGAATTAGTGAAAGCATATACCCTTGGACAGCATTTCTAGTGAGTTTTCCACCATAAAATGCAATGCCAAGATACTAATAAGAAACAAGGGTATTGCATGTTAATTAGCAGCAAGCAGCAGAAGACTCTTTGGAAAAAATATTAGAGCTGACAAGAACACATTCACGGCAAGGATGAACAACACTGTCACAAAATCAACCTGGCCCAGTGGAAGTGGCCCAAGGCAGGGGGATGGAATGAGATCATCTTTAACATCCCTTCCAGCCTAAGCCATTCTGGGATTCTTGTGATCTAATGACAGGGAACCCTGTAAGGACCAGTAATGAGTAAGATTAAAATGTGTCGTAAGTCTCAAACTTATTGGTGCAAACATTAAAGAACCAGCACTTCTTAAGTTCAATGAAACCACTGCTTTCAGTTCCTGATGACTGTTTCAGCATCAAGCACAAACTTGCCCCAAATTAACCCGTGCTCTACCTGTTGATGCATATTTCAAATTTACTAGGATTTATGGTGCATTTATTAGTAGACTTTACTATCTAAAAGAAATACCCCCTCCTTACTGTGTAACTCATGTTTCCAATGGGTAGGCAGAGCCAAATGCATCCTCTTCATAAAGATGAAATTCTTAAGATAGGGCTTGCATACTGTTTGGAAGGTCTCTTCCTTGAAAAGAAGACGCCTCTACAGAAGTGTAGTTACTTCCAGAACTTGGCAGGTACTGAACCATTCCAGTTGCCTACTTTAGTCTTTTATCTCCCATATTCTATGTAAGCCACCTACTCAATCTGTAGGGCATTAGGGACAGAGGTGAGGTTAAAGTACTGATAAGAAGAAATAATTTGCTGTCATTTTATCAGGAAAACAGCTGAGTGGAGGGAAGATTGTCATCTTTACCATGAAACACAGTACTTGTGATTAGCTTAGCTTCCTGAATATGAAACTGAACAGCTGCAAGAACTCTTTGTATTGATTTGAAACCAGGAAACTCTAAATAGAAATGCTTGGATCCATGAAGATAAAATTCTGAATCTCTGCTATCAAAGCTTATTGAAAACAGTGAAGAATAGCCTAAGAGGCAACCCACTGTTCGAATAGAAATTACACTAAACTTATTTCCATTGGAAATACAGGCTCCACAAAGTCTTTTGGGGAATTAAAAGAGAGTCCTTCACTATAAATCAGGTTATAAAAACCCCAACATTTGTCTAAAATGTAAGCGTAATGAAATCTAGATGGAGATGTATCCAGCATTTTTCATGTCAACTACTGCTCAAACACCCAATGGATAAGAATGACTGTAGGAGTGAAACAGGTTCACAGTGGAGACTTCTCCAAGCCAGGCTGCTCTTGGGATAAGGAGTTTATTATTTAAGTAGAAGGTGGAAGAGATCCATTTACGCTGCCAGCCACAGCATAAATGTGCTCAAACAGGGAGAGAGAGTGGAAAGAGGGGGCCGAGAGCATGAGAGCAGTTGGCAATTAAGGGGGTAGAGAGAGAGGGGCAAGAGGGGAGAAATTAGGAGATCAAAGTTCTTGTTACAATATCTTTTTCTATGGTGAATATTCTAATTCCTAGTAACCAACCAGTACATGACACACATTCTATAGAATTTACATATAGCCTATAATAATTACTACATTACCATACAGCGTTACATTTTAAACTCTAAAAGCTACTCTTCAAATTCTTCTCTTGCTGCTTCCACCTTTGGATTCACTGTCAGCGTTTGGGTATTGTTCAGTCAATAGGGATTCTCCTTCAGCTGGCTAGGCTATTGTTCTTTGGTTATATAGTAACTAACACTCGGTACCCTATAGCTCAAAGCTAGTTTTCATTTCTATTTCGATTATAGGTTTCATATTTTCAGAATCTTTTGCTAAACAATCATATTTATAAGGTTTCCCTGTTTCATCTTCTCCAACAAATGACTTAAGCTGGTATAAAGGATAAAGTTAGAATTATGGGACACAGGTCTGCCTTCACAATGAACAAAAATTTCTTGTTGATGAAGATATATCTACTGATATAGCCTACTGGTTTTAAATCTTCAATAGACTAGTTTTATAACTAAAAGAAGACTGGTTTTATAAAACCATCCAAGATTTAAAGGTTTCTAGACTAGATAGAACAATCTTTCATGATCAGATTTCATGATCACAGTTAGTGCTGACTGCTTCACTTCTCCTAAGTTTGATGGAAGGTGGAAACACTGTTTTTAGCTAAAATACCCAGCGAAACAGTGCTAGAGCAGAGTTGCATGGATGATAAGAAGCCATTCTGTATTCATGGGCACATGTGCTAAGTGCTCTCCAAGTACACTCTCCTATCTTTAATGATTCTAGAAACTGCTCAAAGCTTATAAAATGAAGCAAGTATTTTCAGGTGAGAGACAAATAAGTCATCATCACAAGTGACTGAAAATTTCATAATGAGATGCCCCGGGTTACTGAAAGACAATGAAAGCTCCACAATTACCTTTTTTACAGTCTTGTCAGGTTCAAGAGCAATATCTGGAATGTTTGCATCCACCATGAGTGAGAATAAATTCAAGATCAAGTTGGAATACCTAAGCAGAAGAACAAACTATTAAAACACTTTGTAAATTGTACAGAAGACATTTTGTAAGCAACTTAATTTAAGAAATCATCATCATCTTATGAAGAACTTTCAATGCTTCAAAGATTCATTTTTAATACTAATTGAAAGCATTTATATTGAAGAACACAAGATACTGATATTAACTATCAAAGTTTAACCTTCAAAATCCCTCAAACTGACAAAAATGTAAATAAAATGCTCTGATTTTGTTACAACTTTCCAATATTGTCAGAACATTTACTCAGAGACACACCAAATATAAACTTTAATATATTTTAAGTTTTAATGCCATTTTCTACCTCTGGTAGGATAAACATGCTAGAGTACTGATTCAAAGGTTATTTTTTATTAAGAAGTGATATGGCAGCATGATATATATTCAGATGAAGTCTTCATAAGTACAAAAAATTATTCTTCAAATCACTGCAAGGGTTTTTGACTTAATGAGTTAAATATTTAACCAGATTCAAGTCTTCAGTTGCTCAGTTAAGCTCCAGTAATAGTGGTAGCACAGTACACTTAAGAAGTACAAATGTCATCTATAACCATTAAAAGAGACAAATCAGAGAACAGTTTTCAGCTTTAAAATGGTGTTGGAAGCATCCATGACTATTTGTGTTAAAGAACACCATCTTGCCCTTGCAGAAAATTAGCTGTCGGTTTCTTTTTCAAAGGATAAGTTTCAAGCTATCCAACACAAACTGAAACTCCGCTTCCTCTGCAAAAAGATCTGCTTTCCTTTAAGACACAAAATATGTTACTGACTTCACCATTTGAAATATTGCTTTGCTAAGAGAACCTGGAGCTTCACTGATGATAGAAAGTGAATTCTTAGCAGGAAAACTTGTTTATTAGGGAGCTGTCGAATATGTATCAGCTATATATACAATTTCAAGGAGTTCAAAATATTTCAAATAAACAAAAGGTCTGCTTCGTAGCTGTATTTTATAAAGTAGATATTGCTCAAAAAGACATCTCTCTAGAAAAACTTAATTCCAGCAAAAATTCTTGACACTTTATTATTATCTGGAAACAACACTACCTAACATTCCAATATAAGTTTTAAGACATTGTAAGAAAAGCATTAAAATCAACTGTTTAATTTTAGAAATCTAGAAATCTTCAGTGCCTCATTTCTTGCAGCAGTTTTACTTCACTTCCCCCCCCAGGGGTGGGGGGCTGGAGTCAGGAAAATTACTTTTATGATAAATTAAAAGAAAAGAAGTTAACTCTATCATTTTGTTTCAGATCTGGCTAAGAAATCTGGCAGTCAGGTTGCTCTGCTGCTAGGAACAGACATCACAGATTTTAATGAATTTTTCTTCTACTTGCCTGGAACTAGCAAGTTTCTTTTTAAACATGCTTAAATGTTACAGGTATTTGCTCTCAAGTATTTTCCTAGGTTAGTGGTACCTTCTGTCAGTAGTTTTCCCTTCAAACTGACACAGAATCCAAAGTCTCAGTGGTTCTGTTCCATACAATGAAGTCTTCTGATTCTTGAAGAATAAGACCACTGGAAGAAACTCATTTAAAAAAAAATCTAAGAAACAAAAAACAAACAAACAAAAAAAACCAACAAAAAAAACCCCCAAAAACCAAAACAGAACAAAAAAAAACCCCAAAAAAAATAGAGAAGGTAATCGGGGGGGGGAGTATGGAGTGGAAAAATCCCTAAATATTAAGGAAGAATTGCTCACTATACTATCTGCAGGTCTGTCCTCTCTGTCCCTCACCCCAACATTTCCATAACTGAGTCATCAACTGCCATCTTTCTTACAAGGAACATCTTTGGCAAATATGCCATGAGGTTTTATAGCTGGGCAATTGACAGCCCAAACTCATCTAAGAGAGATTTTGCTGAATCACCTGAGTTTGGAGCCTGACTTGTAAAAAAACAAACACCTTTGTCAAACAAGGGATATCAGTCATCTTTGACATTTACATTACAAAGGTGTCTGGAACAGCTGACAGCCAGAACAAACTCTGAGCCAGGCTTTCTTAGTTTTAAGGAGGTTCAATGAAGGACTTAAACTGAAACCTGAATCTTTCTGACATCATTCTTTGCTTTCTTCAAACTCAGTACAAATTAGCTCACAAAATAAATAAAGACTGAGCTACACTGAAGGTTGATTAACTTCTGGTTTGAACATGAAGTACTATTAAAGAAATTCAACAAAAAAAACTCTACTTCTACATAGAAGAGGTTTCATATATCAAGGAAAAAACACACATCAGACAAAAGGTGAAATTCTCATTGCTATGTTTTCTGAGAACAGCAACTTTTGTTTTCAAGTAGTTAACATCTCAAATACCTGCTTGATCCTAAGCATTCCTTTATTTATGTTTTCAATATTTACCAGACCCTTTGCATATAGATGTTCTAAACCAATCAAATATTTAGAGTGTTGACTTTGCAACACTCTACCAAATTTGAAGCTATAAACATCCACTATAAAGACAAGGACAGGAAGGTATACAGTTATCTGCAGTACAAAACTAAGGCCCTGCTTACCTGGTCCAACTCTAAATTCCTAGGTTTAAAATGCCTTAAGGACACTACCTTTCTTTCAGTAGCACATGGGATCCCCCACAACTCAATTCTCTTCTCAATAGCATGAATACTCCCACATCATTGTCAAATCACAGTTTCCTATAATAAATTACAGCATTTATTCTTCCCAAGTATTTCCTCGCAGTCCAAACTCAGTGAATATGGACCTGATCTCACCCAGCTTCACTTTCTCTCTTCACCATCTAATCCCAGCTTTTAGAACACTATCCAGACCCTGCACTGCCTAACTACAACCTTTCCAAAGAAGCAGCACTTCCCAACAGCCATCACCAAGCTTTCCACTTGTTGTGTATAGTGTTTCCATTCACATCTGGACAGCACCCTCAGTCACTAAAATGAGAACAATCTGAGGAAAAACTGCTCCAGCCAGCCAGACTACCCCACCTCTACAGAGAAAAAACTCTCAGCCCAAACTACAGCTTCTGTCCCTACTCCTACTTACCTCCTACTCCTACTCCTTTGCCCTTACTATGGCCTGTAACTCAAACTAAATAGCAAGCTTCTCACAGGACTAATGCAGGGGAAACCTTTACTTGGAAGGAACGAAGCAGTCTAGAGCCTCACTCAGGAAAAAAATTCTGAAATGCTCTGACTGAATTCTTTGCTGCCACAGATTGCCCAGAGAGGGTGTAGAGTCTCCCTCAGTGGAGATATTCCAAAACATTCTGAGAGGAATGATGGATTTGTCTTTACAAACAAGCTGTGGGTCTGCTGGTAAATACAACTAGTGCTGAGAGATAAAAGAAACAATGGGAAGGATTCCACTGATCAATGAGTGGAAGAAAAGATATTTGCCTTTACAAACAAACTGTATGTTTGCTGATAAATGGAATTGGATATTGAAAGACGAAAGAGACAATGGGGAAACACCATAAATTCCATAAGAATTAAAAATTAAGAGGGAGAGTAATACATTAGATGGGAATTTTAGGTATCAGGTGTCCCGGGAAGCCTGTACCTCTCAAGTACCTCAGCCTATGGGGAAAGAGAGAAGGGACATGCATCCAGGAAATTAGGATAAAAAGGAGGCTGCATCCTCCAAAAATTTGAGAGACCCCAGGGGAATGCCCCATGGCCTCTCCCTTTATTCGAATAAATTAAAAGGACTCTGTCTCCTTTTTGGACATAAACCTCTGGTGTTGGTGGATTAGTTTTCCTGGCAATTCTGAACATAACCCTGTGCAATGTGCTCTGGGATGACCCTCCTTGAGCAGGGAGGTGGGACAGATGATCCATTTTGTGATACTATAGAACCTGCTGAAGATGTCTAAGTGGGAAATTCTTGGTGGAAAGGAAATGCTGACATGTAGAAGGATTTAAACATCTTTAAACAGGTTCAACATGCATAACAAAAGCATAAAAGGCTGCTGCAGCCCAAGTGAAGATGCAAGTCCTGCTGACAGCCACAATTTGCCCTGCAACACATTCAGAATGCGGCAGCTGCTCCTTCACTACAGCACTGCTGACAAACACACACGGCTGATTACTGTTGCTCATAAAAGCAGAAAGCATTTCCTTATTCCTACTCCCCAAGAAAATCCTCCAAACTAACTAAAGAACCTACAATGATTATCATCTGCCAAACTGCTTATAACCAGAAACAATGGACAAAGCTATTCTTTCACTTGTAACTTTAAAATTCTTTTTTTTTTTTTTCCCCATTATGCAACATCCATTCCACCAGGAATCCTGAAGATACTTAATATGATACTTGAAATATGTAGAGAACCAGTTATTCCCCAGGGAAATAAACAACTAAAATAAAGCACAATCTGATGGAGATGACAAAGTTAGCATTTTGTCTTAGCTATCAGAGGCTTTGATTTCACATTACTTGGCCAGATGTCTGTGAGTGGGTTTCTGTCAATATGCAGAACTGCTAGAACTAAAATGTTCCACATCCAATTATTCCTTTTTAACAAGTAATTTTAACTAATTTTAGTTCTAGCTGCTTAAAGTAATTGTTACAATAATTCTAATATTATCATACAGTATTGTTTCTGAAAGCCTTAAGGATATTTATCCAGAGCCAGTTAAAAGTATTTTCCAACAAAATGAGCAAATATCGGCAATACTATAATTACAATTACAATTCCAGACATTTAAGAATGAAACCATCTTGATTTACAGTTTAGTTGCGTACCCGAATTACCACTATACTACACATTTAATGATGATCTTTGTAGCAAATCATTACATAAATTAATTCAATGAATAATCTTTCACAGACACAACAGACCTTTCCACTGAAACAGCTAGGTATAAATAATAAAATAATAAAAACAACTCAAGTATATGACAAATAAGAAATACAGCATTAAGAAGTTTTAAGCACAGTTCAGAAGTTGGACTGTTCTCTGAAGCCATAAATACTGCTTGCTGATAACATGCCACTGTTTTTCAAAATTGTTGAATGGCTTTTTAACCCATTAATAATGTCAATTTCTAGATCAACTACTTAGTCTTCCTCCTTTTATCAACTGAAGAACTACATGAAGCATTTTATTTCTATCACTGGCTGATTTCCATATTCCAGGTACTTTTCACATAAGCTTACCATATTACCAATTTCTTACACATATTTGAGGGCTTCCATTAGGCAATCTTTGATATTAAAATGAAAATCTTTCCTCTTCATTGAAGATGTGCTAAATCAAATCCCTGGACAGACCAGGAGTCTTTACCTGTGCTCTGCTCAAACAGAACAAAAATGAGCTACTTTGCTCAGAAAGTAAATGGATAAGTAATACAGTTACTGCACAAGAATGAAGCTGATTCCAAATTTAAAAGAAATATCTGTTTAGACACCAGTGTGTAAAGAGCTTTTAGCTGCCACAGTTCTGGGTATTTAAAGAAATTTCTAACATGCTTGATTGTCACTACAAGTTGCTAATTTTTGTCCCACAGGAGCTGAACTGAACTAAGCATATGTGTTGTCATCTTCAAGCCAAAGAATTTGATCATCACTAATTTAAACTGGAGGAGGATAAAACAGCAAGTGAGTAATGACTTAAATCAAAATGACAGTTCCTTGATCATCAATAATCACAGGAAAAGAAGCTTCAGGGCAAAAAAATACCCAAAAAGAAATATAATTTAATATCTTACTTGAGTTAGGAAATGAAGCTATTTAAGTTATTAAACAAGCAAAACTGGGGACTTTATCATGAACAATTACATTCACCCTCTACATTACACCAACACTGTGATGTTTTCATTCCTTTCTTTCATATAAATTCTTGTGTTCACATTTAAACAAGCTTTGAATTTTCAACAGAAACATTTCAGCAATTGATTTGTTCATCTCCCCTCTTGCTTTACAGTGGCTCTAATGAGTTTTGGCATAAACCTACTGCTGTTACCTGCGTAGGTGGAGAAAGGCTGTGTAGCACTGTTTACGGAATTCCTGGTACTGCTCACTCTGGGTGCCTCCCATGCCTTCCACCATCTCCTTGTTCAGCTTCATCGGGGGAGGAAGGGGCTTGGGGTCGCGGCCCAAAATATAACCAAAGTCAATGTGAAACAGTTTACCTGTAGAAAAAGGAAAGGCAAACACTGCACATAGTTCTTGGTGCAAAACTTAGGAAAATATAATCATTAAGAAGATAGTGAGCAGCTCCCAGAAAGTTTTCTGTAAGGTTTTATAACAGTGTATTTCTTACCTGGAAATGATGATTTTAAAGAAGCAAAGCTGATTTCAAATTCATTAAGAGTACTAACAAGATCAGTTTTCCTGATTTTTTGATTTTTAAACATGTGGAGTATATTCACAAAGACTGAACCAATATTGAAACTGGTCAGTAGATACTAAATGCAGTTTACATAATAGATGCTACTAATTCTTTGCACCTTTTTTATAATTTGTTAGCAAATTTAAATATTAATACTTAAAGCAGTACAATGTGTGTTTCACATTTGATTGCTGCTTCATGAAATATGGTAAATGTAACATAGAACTAATATAACAAAGAGAAAGTACAACTCATAGCCCTATAAACAACATTTCAAACACACTGATCTGCAAAGAAAACTTCAATGCTGTTTCCAAAGTCTTTTGAGTTGTTTAAGTAGGGTGAAAAATTATCCATGGCTTTGTAATATACTGAAGAAACATCACTACCACTTCAAATTTGATACCGGATTTTAAATCCACCAAAAAGTTTGTCATACCCTTTTTCAGTACTAAAATGAATTTGATCACTTGATCACTACCTTTACCTTCTCAGTTCAAATGACTGCATTTAGAACACTTCTTCAGCATTAACAAAAACTTTTGTATGCCTCCTCTCTTCAAATGCTCAAGGCCATTGTCCTTCCTATCAAGAGCCTGCTGTGCTGCTCACCTTAATGCTCACACATAAACTGGGGGAGAATTCAGAGTGTTCCCTATCAATATTACTGAGCTACGCATGAGATGTTATCAGTGGCAAAATGAACAACTGAACAAACTTTAGTTTACAGGCAACTTCAAAAAACCTAAAATAAAGTAAAACAATTCATAATTCTTAGGAAGCTTTTTTTTAGGAATAATCTTGACTCAGTTAAATACTGTCCATGTTAAGTAAAATAAAGTCTCTGAATGTGTTTTGCAAATATATTTTTAATTTGGAATGTGTAATTTATGCAATGGCTTGAGCCATACCACAGCTACATTACAAAAAGATGGTGAGATTGCAGATATGCATGCATGATTGTTATCTAGACAAACACAGACAGCACAGAAGATAGAGTCTTGTTTCAGAATTATGGAACTGAGCAGCATTATAGACAGGGGTGTATTTGCTAAGGGGTGTTTTAATCTACAGCATTTGTATTCATTTTAAGATTTCATAAGATTAGGTTCTCAGTGCTCTTGGAAAAAAAAATGATCAGTCATATTTTTCAGCTAATCACCTGTCTTTGACTGTTTCATTGAACAATAATTTAGTATCAATAGAAAAGGCTTTTTGAGATCTGTCATAAGCATTCTTCTTCAATCTAAGAAACAAACTCCATGACAGTCCAATTTCAAAGAGAGATCACAAGTACCCTGAACAACAGGCAAAATATTTGCTGACCGATAAATGCCACAACCATTACGTTTTGCATAACTAACTGTGCTATTAAAAAAACCCCTTCCTTCAATACATTCCTTCTGGTCTGGTACAGGAGATTATTTTAGAGCTCATTTTTGTACACCAAATTTTTGAAGCAACCACATAAAGAACCCTTCCATCTTTAAGATAGAAAAAATGTTTAACTAAAAAGTTTTGGGGACCTGCTGTCTGTTCACTTATTCAAACCTGTCACCTTGAAGAGTCAAGAGACAACATTTTGAATAAAACAGCAACTCTTGTAGCAGTAAATATTTTTTTTTCAGTTTGCTCTGGAGATAAGGAATAAAAGATGATAATTAATAATTTACGTTGGTAACAAATACATCTAAAACATTCAAAAATATTTCAATAATTAAGTGATAGATACTTAGAAGTGAGATGAGGCCATCCTGTATTAACATTTTAGGTTTCCTAGCTGTACTTCAAAATTCAGCTGTTTTTTTAGGCTGACTTAAAATGTATGTACAAACTCCCATTTAAATAAATATATTTAAAACCCTTCAAACCTGTCTACTAAACACAGACCTGACCAATTTTAATTCAGCTCCTGGAAGATCAATTAAACCAGCGCACCATGCTACAGAATATGGACAAAAGGCTCTCCCTGGTTCCTGCACAAAGGTGTTGCACCAGGAGCAGCCTGTAGGAGCACTGAAGGTCTAGAGATTTCTGCAGTGGAACTAGACTCGTGTTACCTTTCAGAGTAGCAACTGAACAAGTGAGGAACAAGCCTGCTTTGGACAAATTAAATTTGCTATATATTTTGTACAGAAAATAGCTGATGTTTATATTCTTATTTATGTTAATAAATAAGAAATTTATCTAGTTAATAAACTCAATGATTTCAAATCTTTTAATACGGAGACAAAAGGCTTTCAAGTATTTCAAGTGATCGTGCCAAGTGCCATTTATACCAGGGCGTTACTCTGAGTATTCCACTTACATTGTATTAATGAATGTGACAATGTTCATTCAACATAACTCCAACTGCAAGAATAAGGGGAGCTCCGGAGGACATCTGATCCAAACCCCTGCTTGAGCAAACACGCAGTGCCAGGTGCCTTAACCAGGGCTAAGTTTCTGAGTATCCCCAGGGATGGTCTCTCCATAACCTGTATCAGTCTTCCTTGAAGAGCTGATATTCATATAATGATATTTATATACAGTAATCACCTATCTTCCCGGTAATCCAGCCTTCATGTGAACTTTGTGCAACACTACTTTTTCTAAAGACTTTGAACTATGATGTTTTACAAAATAATTACATGTCCTTCCTTCAATATACCGTGCATCATAACACACTTCTCTTACACCATCATGTTTTAATACAATCCAACTTCTTCTGATTCATTATGTCTTAATTTAAAGGGCTCCTAATCTTTAGACATGCCTATAAATTACAGACAAAACCTACTTTGACAGGACAAACTCTAATTTGGTTTACTACTGTTCCCAAATGAGTGCTAAATTATGGAGGTGAGAGTTTTGTTTGTTACAATCATGATTTAAACTAAAACCAGAAGTTACTTAAGACAACAGGTGAAACAGATCTCATCATTAAAACTAGTGGACTAGAAATTACCTTGCCCTCTCTATTTCACTGTAGTAAAAGCAAGACACAAGTCATTTACTGCATGGAAGAAGATGAGAAGCTTCCAGGAGTTAGCAGCATGCACATATAAAATTATTTAATTCAAAATCTAAAACCTGATACTGTTGGGTACCTTTGAGTTTGTTTTTTTTTTTTTAAATTCTTTTTTTCTATGAGTTTGACTACCTTTTTCCACTAAACACCTGTTTTTCTAACATATGGAATAAAGAGGACAGGCCACTGGAGATTTCAGGATATGGCACAAAACATGGAAGTTACCCTGACTATAAGTCAGAGCATCAGGGATTTCGAAGTCCATCTGACTTCCTTTCAGCCTTGAGAGTGATCTTCGATTAAGTGAAGCATGGACCTGTAGAGATTAAAAATTGATACCTGGTGCCTGCAATAGCCAGTAACACCTGACTGCAGCTGGAGATGGTGACCTGTCCATCACTTTCACTGCTAATACCTAGATTTTAATACACGAGAAACTTCTTATACAGCAGCACAAAAATTGTTTCATTTTGCTAGGATAAACCATTGAAAACCAGACACAACTCTGAAAACCTTAAACAAAATGCAGAGGACAGAGCAAATTAGATTCAATTATTGAAACAGGGTCTGATGGTAATTGTCTCTTAACAGTAAAAAAGGAAATTATTTCAAACTTCTCTATTTGCATTGTTGGGGAAGAACAAAAAAAACCAACCAACCAAAACATCCCAAAATTTCATTATTTCTTCATAACCCTCGAGCACCACTATTATTTTAACTTGGCCCATATAAAAAATGTAAAATATAGAGATTATTTTAACTGAACTCCTATTTTAAATTTGAAGCAACAGAATAGAAACTAATCTGAGGAAAATGACTGGATAAATGGGATGTTTTTCTGGCTTTCCCAGCAAATTCTGATGTTACTGTCAAAATTTTTCTTTTTCTAACAGACCATTGCCATGATGAAAAAATTGGAATGCCTAATTTATTGTAATAATTTTCATCAGTAGCATCTTACAACTTTTCTACACAAGACTACACAACAGTGAAATTAATGTGAATTTTTAAGAAGTTATTCAGGATACAAGTTTTGAAGTCAGCAACAGATGGAGGTAAAGTTTAACACTGTTACCCATGTAACTGGTAAGAGCCCAGCTTGTCTTAAGCATTATAATTCACCTCCCTTCCCCAGGCTGTCCATTCTCAAAATACATTCTATTCAGGCATATTATAAGGAAAAATAGGCCTGGTATTTATAACTAGATGACAAATGCTGTTCAAGGTGCCTATAAGAGAAAGTGTTTTAGCAGATCAAAAGCTAAAAGGTCATGTTCTTTTTGCAAGAAGTACCATAGAAAATGGAATTCCAGAGAGAAATCTAAAGGACAAAAGTATGCACTGGTTTGTTGTTTTTTTCTTTTTTTTTTTTTTTAAATAAATATGTCCCTCTATCAAGGCCTGTAACATTTAAAAACATCTTTAAAAACTGTATTTTATATACTATAGTATTTTGCAACATTAGTAAATGTTTTTGACAATGTACTTGTCTAAGTACTGACATAAAGTAAATGTTTGAATCCTGCAGGTTTTCCATTTCTACCATCTCAGACCTGCTCTGGGATAGATTTTTCTGAGTGGAAAAACATAGGAAGTACAAACACATGCATATGAAATACATTTCATATATGCATCTGGTTCAGGTCCTTGCTGTCTTTCCTGGCCACCCTTTCTAATCAAGACTGAAGAATAAATGTGGTGTCAGTTGGTGACCACAGTTCTACCTCTAAGCATTAAATGAGAAGACAGCCCACTTTTTTCATGTATTTACACGTGATGCCTAAAGCAAATGTGGTTTTCAAGTTCTGAGCACCCAGTCTTTGGCCTGGTCTTAGATATTAATAACGTAATTTTATCCACATAGCAATTTTTCCTCCTGCTACAGAGCAATTTCAATGTATGGCTCAGGTCAAAGACCCTGTACTTTGGGAAGTCATACTGGGAACTTGCATTTTCATGCATGTGACCAGATATTACTGAAAGATAAGCTGGCCATCACTAGAGTGACATTAAGTTGGTCAGACACATAGATAAGCAGCGCTATCAAGGAAGCGATTTGAAGGTCTAGGATATCCTACAAAATCTACACATAGTCTGGACCTTTGTGAAACCTCTGCATGTCAATAAAGCAAATTGAAATTACTATTATACCTCTAATGGGACAGAAGATTGCACCTGTCTATGAAAACTGAAATACTTTCTAACTCTCCTTATAACTGTACTGACTGCCTTGCCCATATGAAGACATCCATATCTGGATATTTTATTAGTACCTAGATCCTGACTCTACAATCAAATCAGAGAGCATAAGAACTGCAGAACAAAGTGTTCTCAGGGGAAGGCATGGCATAATTGCAATATACTAGCCTAGTGCATACTCCGTGGAAGTTAACTGAACATGCTATGCCTCGTACATCACAATCCAGCTTCACAACCACCCAGATCTTCCTTCCGAAGCAACAAAAGGAACGTTAGCTGTTAAATCAGATGCCAGCTTCAATATATAAATCAGTCTGTAATCCTAAAAGGAGGCACTGATGTTGCCTAAACCGGGGCATACAGCTGAAAACAATGTCTTGTTATCTATAACTTACAGTAATATCTGCTACAGATTTAGAAACAAGATGTTAAAACATAGAGCAACTGAAAATGCACTTTGTCTCCATGAGAAGTAAAAAGTTTGAAGTCTTCAGAGAAAATAAGCATCCCTGTCATGCAATACTGAGTATATAATGTGACCTCTGGGCTGGCAGCAAAGACACATTTATGAAACTGATTCAAGTCTTTTTGTAATTTTTAACATTACTGATAGATAAGGATGTTTTGACTGAAGATTCTCCGCATCTCCTTCCAAACACACTTCTACATATGTCCTTTAAATGGCACAGCATTTAAAACCTGAAAATCCAGATGTCTTGTTCAAGACTACTACTACAAAAAAAACCACTCTATTTCTAGAACTATAGGCATAAAAGAGTCATGAAAGGTAACAGAAATTATTTCATTAGGTAAGTGACATATCATGAAAAAAGAATCCTCATTTCTAATGTGTAGAAAACAATATGTTTTTATGAACTTCTGTATCTAGTGATTAATATTTAAATTATACTGTACCTATTATAAGCACAGACATATGTATGTTACAAGACGATACACCAATTCTGTTGGAAGGACTCTAACAGATGTGGCTACATTCATCAAAATGAAAAGTTGTGCCAAAAAAAAAGTAATGATATGTAAGAAATACGTGAACCTACAGCTGGTACCTAGCATTCTTTACCCTACTGGAAACCTTCAATTCATTAAATAAATATCATCAAGAAAGGATGCATATAGAGTTGTATGATTTTGAAGGAGGTACCTGGAGCATTCATTCTCCGAGAGAAGAATGAAATTAGCTTTTTCCAACTTAAGCCTAAGGGATTCTCAGTAGCAAGAAATAAGCATAGCTGGCAAATCTTTTTTGTACTTGGAACATGTGGAACATAAGGATTTCTCTTGATAGCTCACAAAAGTTCTGTTTGTGGCAGAACATGGGTTTTCCAACTTGGAATGTACGATGGATGTGCACTGCCCTCTGCTGTACTCCCCAAATTCTTCCAGTAAATCCACTGTGCTGTACTTCTTAAAACAGACAGTTAAGATGCACATTATCCCAAAACAAAACACTGAGCTGTTACTACTCTCAGCATGCAAGCAGAGCCTGCTATGGAAAGATTTATACCCACCACCACAATTAAATGAGAGACCTCTCAAGACAAATCTTTAAATGACTGTTTGCATATTTTCAAACAGCTAAGGTAAAATACACTTGCTTTAGCTGTTCCCCCATGAGCTTAGAGCAAAACCTTCTACACTAATCAAGGCCAATTGTTAATTTTCTACTCTTTCAGACAATTGGGGTTAAAAGCAGTATATGCTTCAGCCTTACCTGTAACTAACAACCCTTCCACATGGATAGGTCTCTTTTTCCAAGTAACATTTTTTTCTTTAAACATTTCTCATTCAATAAATGTTTCACTTCATAAATAAACACTTAACCACAACTCTTAATTCTCCACCACTACGTAATGAAGGTATTCGAGCAACCAGAACTCCTAGGGAAGCTGTAGTTCAAAAGTAAGCAAGCAAGTAAAAATAAGACAAACAAAAATTCAAAAATATGTTCCCCTATAAGAAATGCTATTTGTCAAAACTTTGTGAAGCTCGTGCAGCTACACACGAACTCATTTTCAGTGAAAACAACTGAAATTCCCTCTATCCCAAAGCAGTGATTACAATAGTTGAAGTAGCTTTATTTTCAAATCCTTCATTTCCTCTAGTTAAGAAACCATCTTCTTACTACACACTGGAGCAAATATTACCTTAAATGAGCCAATATAACTTACATTTTAAAATATAATCTAGTCTGCAATACTCAGTGGGTTATACTCACAATGAAAAGCAACTAAAAAAGTACCAACACATTAGAAATTAAACAACTGTTGCTATAAAATTATACTGCTAAAAAGAATTACCTGTTTTTGTTAGCAACAGATTATCCAGATGTCTATCTCCAACTCCAAGGATGTAAGTAATCACACAATAACCAGCTGTAACAAGTAAATTGTAAACATCAGTATAAGTACTTTTCCTGGAGAGCAACAATTACCACACAATTAACAACAGCATATCACATTACCTTAGCTCTAGTTCACTAGCAATAAATATACCACTGAGACTTGAGGCAGAAGTGGTGCTGGTGAAGAATAATCAAGATTATCAGCATTATGATAAATGTTTCGAGTATTAAAGACTGTAACTCACCACAGCTCTTAACATATGTGTCCATCACCTCTGCGCTGATTCCATGAGGGCCAGTCTCACTAGGGGCATGTTTTCTGAAGAAGTTCTGGAGAGAATGCCATGAAGATAATTAGTTATTCCAAATGATATGAAACCGGGTCTTTAGGAAAAAAAATATTTAAATCAAGACCACACGTGGCCATTATTACAATCTGTTGAACTAACAACCACCCCCAAAATACCACGTAAAATCTAATTTAATATCGCTTTATTTATATTCTGTCTCAATCATCACATTCTAATAATCAACACAGAAACTGAAAAGCAGTTTCCTTTATTAAAAGTTTCAAAAACTTAACAATGCAGTCAAAAGTTACTAGTCAGTAACTATGAGTGACAATACTTCCAAAGCAAACTGTTTAGGTCATATCAACAAAAACTAAAACAGGATTAACAGTCCTGCTTTATAACTACATTTGGGGAACATGCCCTTACAGGGTTTATCATCCTTATATGATTCCTCATATAAAACCAACTACAGCTATTGAGTTCAAAATGAAAATTAGCCTGAGTCATCAAATGGAAAATTTTATTTTCCTTTGAAATGCAGACAGGGCCAAACAATCCTCCCCATCAGCCAGAGAAAAAACTCTTAACCTTCTTGAGTAAGAGAAAACTCAGTTATATCCAAGTCTAGGCAAAGTTTTTTCCAGTAAGCACAATTTAAAGAAGCACTGTAAGAGGAGCATGGTAGTCCCCTGGACAACTTGTAAGTTACTAAAGCCATACTGAAAAACTAAGACATGTATGGAAATGAACTTCTAAAACATGAACTGTGATTTTAAGATTGTTGATTAAAGGTAAGTAACACTGAAACCAAAACTTCCTTTCTTTCCTGCAGATCTGCATTTCACAGACAGCACTGGTTTACTGGCTTTAAAGCTTTTCACTAGTTAATGTAGTAGTAATATACAGTGCTCATCTTTACTAGAACAGCTGTGAAATCCAAAATTACTGTTTCCAAAAAGAGTAAACCAAACTTCCAAAACACCTAAAAGTGTTAATTACTTTTCATTTCCTTTGCCTACGATACCCAGCTATTTTATCATGTCTCAGCACAGGAAATTGCACTCTTTTGGCACATTATTTTGATTAATAATTCTTCACAGGAATAATTGCTCCTTATGTCTTCATAGCAACTGAAACAATAGGGCATCTATTTCCAACCATAATATGATGTTGTAAGTAATTGAAAAATAACAGTTTCAACAGGCATTTCTAAACATATTATTTTATAAAAACATGTAATGGATTAAATTATGAATAGTACATTTTCAAGATTACAAACAATTGTCAAGAAAGCACTTTATAATCTGTAAAATTATTGACTGTGCAGATGTACCTTATCACAACCTCTATGGAATGGAAAGCTAAAAAAAACCAACTTATGTAACCTCATGCTTGTCCCTGATTAGTGATAAGCATTTTTTATATGTGAAAAGTATTTGGTAAGCTTATTTGTTAAGCAAATGATAATGAAAAATTATAACCAATTTAAATCTTTGTATTTTCAACACATGTAGTTTATAGGGCCTGAGAGCTAGTTTGCTTTGGCTCACAGTTACTAAGCTACAAAAAAGTGCAAACTTCAGTATCATCTACAAAAGAGGAAAAGAGCTATTGTGACATATCAAATCCAAATAAATGTACTCTATTTTCATTAAAAAAAAACTATTCGCTACTCACCTCATACAGGAATTTGGTATATTTTTATCCAGCTATATATATATCAACCAGCTATTTATATAGCTATGTATTATAACTATATTATATAGATAGCTCTGCTATCTAGCCTGTGTGCTGTGCTTGGAACCAATATGAGTTTTGTGTGCCACTATTCAGTTGTGTGTCCCCACTCAAATCCATGAGACTTAAGAAAATTGGCTAACAAAAGTCACAGCACCTATACATCCACTATGGAAGGGAAACAGTCTTCAAATATTATGCGAACAAATTACTTAGTTGTTTCATTGAAAAAAGAAAAGAAATTATCAAAATATATTTTGACAAGGTCAAATGAAAGACACACTCTGAAACAAAACAAAAAGTGTCAGGTATCTTCCATTCATCATTACAGAAAAGCTGGGATTTCAATATCATAACTAAACTCCACAGTAATTTATTTAAATAGTGTTACCTTTAGAATGTGAGATACTCTAGGGGTCATTTATGTATACCTTTTTAAACATCTTCTGTAATAACTTGGAATGTTCCAGCTGTAATGTGTCTTCTAGCAGACCAAAGAATCAGGTGAGAGACTAAGTGAATTTTGCACAAGCCTTCAGGTTACACTGTTTGATCAGAAGACAATTTACAACTCACCCATCACATACCTGTATAGTTTCCTCAGTAGCAAGAACTTCTGCAACTGGTACAGATGGAATAAACTGCATGAAGCCTATGACAGAAAACAGCCAAAAGAGAAAATCTCCAATGCACAGAACTTTCAAGCTACTCTCTAACACATGTTTATGACTGGACAGAACTAATACACAGTAATTCAGCTTCTCATAGGAATAAAAAAACCACTTTTTTTATCCCATTTTCCAATCTCTTGTGTTCAATACTTTTAAAACAACTTGTCATTAACACCAAATTAACTTGCAAAAGGTGTGTTTTTACAAGTTTTCAAGATGAGAGAAAGCACATTGATGGCTTTCTAAATATTATCCAGAATGTATCTAATGGTAGCCAAGTTTGATTTTATGGGTTTTTTTGTCCAATTCATGCATAGATCTCTAAAGAGTGTTGTTTATTCATGATCACACTGCAAGCCAGCAGCAAAGATTAGTAACTGCTCATTGTCACATATTCCTAAATCCAGACCAGGCTTCTTTTATGAAGATATTTGAGTCACCTATGGAATATAGTGGTGACTCAGATTGTTTACTTCCATGGCTTACACTCTAAAAAAACTTTATTACACACTAAGAACACAGGGAAGGGATTCTCCTCCATACTGTATTTTTAGGAAATAAATGTATTCATACCATGTTTTGTACTAGTTGCTAGCACTTTATACGGTGTCAGCTTCAAATCCAGATTCTCTTTTCTTAACAGCTGGAAAAAACAATACATAAAAGCAAAGATGAATGCAACAGAAATGCAGATTCTATTACTAAAAAGTTGTGTATTGGACACTGATCTCCACTGTTCTTCACTGAAACTGATAATGAGTGAAAGCCTGTTTGGCAAGTCCGTATTTTATTTTTTTTTTTTAATTCACACAGAGTAATTGCACATCTATACAGAAAAGAAAAAATTGCACATCTATATCAAAAAGGAAAAAGACCACCTAGAGATCTGAGAACTATGAGATTATTACCAATATAAGTTGCATTAACAGTCTTCCTTTTGACAAGGAAAATCAAGAAAACAGAAAAATAGGATGTAGATTAATAATTCTCACCTTATCCATGAGTGAAATAATCTGAAGAATAAGTTGATCTTGACGTAAATCATCGCCATGCTTAAAAATGACAGGATATTTGCCTCCATCTTCTGTCTTGAAGAATAACTGGGCAGGCATTAAGGCGCTCTGGAAAAGGAAATTTTCTACTAAGCTGCTTCATAGCAGTGCTTGTATTAACACACTGCTACAATGGAGCTCAGAAATACAACCTTTGCATTATATTTACATTGCCTCAATGGTTTAGAGTGTACCACTCCCAATTACCAAAAGTGAACTTGTATTTTAAAAAGAAAAATACCTTAAAGCTTTCCTTCCTTTTTTATCAAGGATACATTTTCCCTCCCTGCACCCCACAGCAGCAGAAGAGGAAAGGACAGAAGTATTCAATTATTTTCTGTGTGCATGTAATTCCAATCAACAAGGAAGCACTACGCAAAAGGTCACAACGAAACAAATTTAAACTGATCAGATCAAAAAGTGACACAATTATAGGATAAGCAACAAAGAATTCCTAGGGGCAAGTCATCTTAAACAATTAATTGCTTCTTTAATCTATTTAGCAAAAGCAACGTGCCTTTTTACATTATTGTTTGAGAAAGCCCATTTAATTGTTTGCGATTTTTCCATGTAAAATGGGTCAAAGGGGATCAATTACCTACATGAATGATATAATCTATTGCAACTGACCAAGTCACTTCCCTCCACAGCACACCAAACAAAAACAATCAAGGTACAGTTTCATCTTAAGCAGTTAGATTAGATTTTCAAATTAATACCACAAAACTACTAAACTCCACGAGTAAAGGCAAAATTATTCTTTTAATCCTATAAAAGCTAATGTGATGATGTGTCTGACAGCACCAAAAATTAGTAATTCTTTCCTTTTTTAGTACATTTGGTTTTTTCTATCCCATAGCCTGGAATAAGATATTAAATGGAAATATGTAAGCTATCAGAATTAGGAAAAGAAAACAAAAATCTCTGATTTTGAAACAAGTTACATCTCACATTTTTGGTCCTACATTTTTTGTATAGCTTCAGAAGACAAATCTGTAAAAGACTACATTGAATTTGTCCTGAAGAACTTCAGTTATTATTATTGATAGGAAACGTTTAGCTGCTGTTCCAGTAATCTTTTTCTCTAAATTCTTTCCCCAACTCTTAAACCACAGTCACACAGAATGATGATCTGAGTTTGCAGAAGTTTGCTTTCCTGAAAATATCTTTTCAATGTTGCCTCCAACCAAAGGTGCAAGAGCTTGCAACTGCAGAAGCCTATGCTTCAAAGGAACTAATTTGATATAGAAAGAAGGAAGCTAAAACTTGTAGAAAACTATGCAAAAAGGATTCATCTCTGATTTTAAGTAAACTCAAAACACAGCCAACAAGGAGTCTGATGAAATTACCATGCATATTAAACCTATTAGAGATGACAGATTTAACACTGGCTGTCACAGCAGCCTGCATGAATTTTTTAACTGGCAGACAAAGTCCTCCTGTACATAGGCCTTACTTGTACAGCAAATTTTGGTCATCCTAGAATTAGACTGCAGTCACCTACACGAATTGAATACAAATTTATAAAATGGCCCAACACCACAGAGCACAGGTAATAACTTACACTGCAAGGATTAACTTACATTTCAAGCAGTAAAATTAACAAAATAACCCCTTTCAACAGTACATTGACTGTTTTATGGTCATAAGCAGCTGCTACCTTTTGGTTTAAGGAATTAGCAACCAAAGGGATACAGGATTTTACCTTTAGTGGACTGCAACTGCATGAAGTGGACCACCACAGTGCTTTCCACTGTCTATGAACTTAAGCTTTATTATGCGATGGAACAGACCCACAGATCTAAATGAGACACAGCATACCATCCTTCATTTGCATGACTTTGATCTTAAAGTGGTACTCCTGTTGAACACAGGAACAAAATTCTAGGAAATTCTGAACTTCATAATCTGCATTACTCTTATAAAAGCTGTTTTAAAGTTTAAAATCTTAAATTTAAAACCAAAAGAAATTAAGGAGATGTTTAACCACTGTAAGACCATGCTGCAGTTGCATTTTTCCTTGACTGTGTCTGTCCCCTTAAATCTTTCAACTGATGTTTCTAAGCTTAGATTTATTTGTCAAAAGATTTATTTGTATTTCAGCTATTCAGAAGCTCTCATTTACCTTGAAGAGTGTGGCTTTTTCAGGGATTATTCCTTTAATTTTCACCTGAGGTTCCAGAGGAAGTGGAATAAGTTCCATATCTGCTAAATTCATCTTTTCATTATCAGCTAACAATGCCTGAAGCCTCTCATTCTAAAAGAATGAAAATTTGTGTAAGAAAAAACCCCATGAAATATAAAACACATACTAGTATACATGAAAGCCATAAACAAAGCATGTATTACTAACAAATATTCAATTTATTAAATTCTTTATCCATACAAAGAATCAAGGTTTCATTCATATAATCTAGGAAAATAAAAACTCTATTTGCAATAATATGAATAACAAAGGAGATATTCCATCTAGTGTTAGTATAGTCTAGCAATTGTCTAAGTTCCAGATAGTCTTAAAAAACCAAATTTCTAAATTGCCTGCACAAAGCACAGGATGATTTGTTTTCCATATCAAAATTAAATGTTAGTTAAGTTTCAGAAATTGATTCAAATCCAACTCAGAAACTTTATATCCCTCAATTCCACTAAGGAATTCCCTACCACCAAGGAACCAAATGGCCAACAGCTTGCACTGATCTGATTTCCAGACTTCCTCGACATTCCTACATCTGTCGTTATCAGAAACACAAAACTCATCAATTTTTGAGTTCTTTACACTTGATGTCCTGCATAGTGAAGGTCAAATACATTATTGTCTCTAGCCTTTTCCCCTGCTGAATATAACAGACACAAACAGACACCAAGGAGGCCCACAACTGTTAGGAATAGTTCTAGTGGTTAATTGCTGCTACCTAGATTGCAATCTAAAAGTAAAAGCCATGTGTTTCATAGTTTTACAGAAATTTCTAAAATATACAACTGAACACTACCAATGTACAAGCAGGAAATAGAATCTTACAAATTGAAAAATTCTCCTTTTAGCCTTTGTTACTGATATAAGAAGTTGCTTCACTTTTTCTCAGTAAGTGTTTTATTTTTCTGCATAAATATACCCTATACATATATGCTTAAAAACCACATTTTTTTAAAGAAACTATCAACACTGAAAAACCTATGTTTAGAAGTACTGATCTGTGTCAAAGGAAAAGGTTATACACAAACAGAAATCCCTCTGCCATTTCCACTTTCCTTCCCACACTTGCCTGTGAGGTGCACTTAAAACATTTATCTAAGAAGAACAAAGCTTCTTAAAACCTTTTCCTCAGAACCCAACAGCAAACAGAGCTCTGATAAACAAATACCTTACAGAAGAACAGTTTTGCTGCTCTTGGAACATATGAAACCTTGCTGCTAACTGATTTTCACTATCTATCCTGGCATGTCACTCACATGACAATAACATGATACTCTCACATCCCCCACAACATGTTCAGTTATATCATCAACTATATAATTATTCTCAGATCTTTCTATCGCTGAAACACCCCACAAGTGTTTGCAAGGGCCTCTTCTGTTTTCTAGCTATAAACTTTAAATACACTTTGGAACCCTGAAGTACCGAAACCTCTCCAAAGTTTATTCACAGTTAACCAAAATTATTACAGAAGTATGGACATCTGTTATAAATCTCAGTGCTAAGGAACTTTAGTGAAAGGCTAACATTCCTACCCATTGTCAAATTTAAGCCACAGACAGGCTTTCTAATCCTTTAGTTACCTTTTTCTTACGATTCCCACTTTCACGCTGCACTGCTTTCATTACATGAACCAACCGATCTACAAATGTCTGCTGGGCTGCCAAAAGCGAGCGCATAACTCTGACAGACTTATCACCCTAAGAGAATGAAAAGAAACAGAATTAATTTCTCGTTCTGTAATTATTTTATCTAGAAATCATTCCTTTGTTCTTAGACCTCTGGGCTTTTAAGAGGTTAAGTGAATAATGATCAATTTCCCGTCAATTCCGAAGGTATTTTCTGTAAAACACAATCACAGTCACTGTAGCTGGCAATCAATTATATGACCTAACAGTGCACTTCAATTTGCTTCAACAATTTCAGTGGTGATCAGTCATGCATGACAAACCAATTCACAAAGCCAAAGTAAGTAAGGTATCAGCAAAATATTCTTAGGAAGCACAAGAAGTCAGATTCAAGTAACAGCCCCATAAAATTGGAAATAATATTAAGTGTGAGATACATGAAAATCCGGAAAGACTGCATATCTGCTATATTGGAAGTAAAACTTCCAATTCACAGGAGTTTTTTCGGCTGTTTTAGGGGTTTTTTTTCCCCGCTGCTCCAGCACCCTCTGCTGCCGACAAACAGAACAGCAAGTGCTGTTTCTGAGTTCCAGATCTGTCTCTCCACTCATACTTCAAGGACAAGAGTTTACAACAAATAAATAGTAAATAAACCACATTGATTACACAAGGCTTTTAGAAGGTTTTAGATCGAGTGTAAGGCAGAGTATTTTAGAACCAGTATGTCATTAACAGGAACAAGGAACAAAAGAGAAAAAGGAGTTTTCAGTATTTGTTCTTTTCCTTTTTGGCAGTTTCTTCAGCTTACTACAAATTCATAATTCAATCAGAAGTGCTTTCATAAAACTTCAGTGCATGTGACATACATACACAGAAAAACCCACCTCATTTTCTTAGACACCTGCGCTTGTTCAAGGAAGGACAACCCCAAACCATTGTGGACTTTCTTACCCAAGAGGCATTACCTTCAGCAAAGCCTGACTGAATCTTCTCATCACATTTAAGTACATTTCATGAGTCTTTGGGTCTCTCTGCTGAGTATCTTGGTCTTCACACTCCACTATTACATACCTGCAGCATAAAAAAAACCCCAGGTTATACCATACTCTTGGAGCTACATGATTTGAGTGAAACACAGTAGCCCTGTATTACAGACCTGTAACTAAAAGATGATCTTCGAGATTTTTAGCTCAACCAACAGCTGAACTCTTAAAATTGCATAGTCCCCAGATCCATTTGGATCAGGACAGTCTATAAAAGTTCTGTGGTTTTTAACCTACAGTGAAATGTCATCACTCAAAGAGGACACACCTGAAGTTCAGATCATATGAACATTATGGCCATGAAGTAAAACTGAGCATGTTTTCCACCGTGACACTACCTGCTACATAATTTAGTGGCTGCAAACCTGCTATTCAAGAGCACTTGCAAAACAAGGAGAATCCCACCCTACCTGCTCCCTTTTTTTACCATTAGAAATGATGGAAGGAAAGGTATTGGTCCTAAAGCAGCTCTGCAGAGCCTATATGCCAGAGTTTCCATTTCTAAAATGAAGAATCAGATACAAAACTTAATAGTACAGTCTGGAACACCTACATTGAAAATTTATTTTGATGTTAAGCATTCACTTGGAATGCTTTTGTCTAAATTTCTACTTGCAGCACTGACAAGCAAAAACTAGCTATTTATCGAAAGCTGTGTATATCTTCTTTCTGTTGGTCAATGTATGTCTTAGTACTATGCAGCAAAAACATGTAATAAACATACAAAATAAAAACATGTAATAAACACTATTAAAAAAGGGAAGAAATTAGCATCTCAGTAAATTTTCAAACATTGAATTTGGATTCAAAAATGACTAGTTCAAGACATTCTCTTGGACATTACACTGTTAGCAAGAATGACACCTTCATTATGTACTTGTGCAAAATCTCTTTGTGATGGAATAATTGTGAGACAAGACTAGAGGTCTGTCATTTGCAGCTGATCAGATTTGAGCAGTCTTATTTATAAATACACAATATATGCACCCACTAGAATAAGGCATATGTAACTTATTCCATGTGTACAACCCCAATGAAATATGTAACTAAAGATTCCTTCTAGTGCCTTGCTAATGCAGCATTATACTTTTCTTTCACAAATATCTGTATAAAACTAAGTCCAAAGTCTGCACACCTAAACTTGGAAAAGGGGAAGTAATGAATTGAAACTTGCAATTTTCATCTTCATTTTCTAAAAAGCCCTGGACAGTTTCTCAAAGCTATCTTGAAACAAAGACTAAGAGTAATGCTTCATACTTGGGTAGGTGTCTCATATGTCCCAAGAGGAGACAGAAAAAGCACTGACTTCTGAGGCCACTGTTAAAGGACAGGATAGCTTTACAATGACAAGTGACTGAGCAGAAGGTTTCATTTTCAAGGGTTATTGTACTTTTTCCATTGATTATTTTAGCTGCATGCTGTGTCTGGATAGCTGAAACATACAATTGATCAGGAGCCATGAGGATTTATGGCTACGTCAGCTCAAACATCGGCTGCAACATTTGTATTTTGTCAGTGAGAAATTAAGATGTCTGGAAAGAAAACAAAGAATAAATTGACTAGGTTTTTGGCTTGGTGGACTTTTCTTATTTGTTTTGTTGAATTTATTTTTTTTTTAAGTTGTGAGTCAAAAACTTCACAGAGTTACGGATGTTTGAACTTTCTGTAGATGGAGTGTCTGAGATGTTGCTGAAATGTAAGAGAACAGTTTCTAACAACCTGATAGAAATAAGCTAAGCTATCAACACTTATCTTAATGAAGAATATTTGATTAGGCCAAACACTTGGTTTCTACTCACACCAATTCAGTCTGCAATTATTTTAATAATTTATATTTAATAGCAATTTTTAATGAAGCCGAACATTAACTTTGGCCACTGCAATAGAAGTATCTACTGCCTGCAAATGTATGCAAGTCATTCAGTTAAGTATCTTAAAATTCAACCTACTAAAAATAATCACACAATGAAACTTATAAATGGAATCTCTCAGCATAGTTTATAGGTTTCTTGTAAGAATTTTAAAAAAAAAATTCACTAAGTTTACAGCACATATCATACTTAGTTCCCAATTCACAACTTATCTGTAATAAATGCTCTTAGCACATTATATGATCATATGTGTTAGTATTTTTAGTTATTTGATGCAGCTACAAAGGTTACAAATGAGAATCACATGACTTAGGTTTAGCCATGAAAAAGGCACCTAAAGCCTTGCTTTTTTTCACACGCATATATACAAAGTAAATAGCTGTGTGCTGTGCATATGCGGAAGTGTGTACACTAATACACACAGAAACACTTTCACACAGTACAGATTTATGCATCTCAGCTTGCTTCAAATGAGAAAATTCTTACCTGCAAATGCTTGTCCAGAAGACTTGCAGATAACTCCTTCAGACATGTAAATTTACTCATAAACCACTGAGCTGAGGCAAGATCCTAAGCTAAGCACTCCCATCTCTCTACAGTATAGATGAACTAATATTTACAACTAAAGCTCTCCCTTAAGAATGCACATATCTGCAATAACATTTTGTTTGTGCTCCTAACTATAAATGGAATAAAGCTAAAATTAGGTTACAACAAAAAAAAATAATGCTTTATGAATCTTTGAAACATACACCTTTGATTAATATTTAAGTGTATAACTTCAATATTCCAGACAACACTGTCAAACACTGCAAGCACAAAAAATGCAACCACACAGACAGCAAAGCAGAGAAAAGGTGAACTTAATCTCCTCCTCAACACCATAAATAACTTGAATGACAACCTTAAACATAGTTAGGCTGCTTTCTGTAACACTGTACCTAATGTCCTAGGCATCACTTTCTTTTGTCTAACAGTAAAATATATTTCTGCATTTTATAAGCTTCCATTTATAAACTGCTATGTTCAAATGCAAATTGTTTTAAATCTATTACTTTACCCTGAGAAAAATTGAGATTCTGAAGCTCTCAAGACAGGTCATCTTTTGATGAATATCCTTCTGGGCATTATAGCTTTGATTTCAAATACATGTTGATACAGTATAAATAAACAGTTTCTAACATACCAGTATAAGTAGTTCGCCAACGTGGAATTTTTGCATGCCCGTGATATCAAGAAAGTGCAAAGATCTTGCTGGAAGGTATTTAAGAAGAACAAAAAAAAATTAGGTTATAAAGAAATCTAAGCATCTGAGAGACAGACAAAGTTAAGGAAAGACACCAGTAAATGAAAGAGTTTTGAGAGATATATTCCCTTCTAAAATCTGAATCCAATCCAACCTAGTATTTAAATCACATTAATTTAAATATTCTTTTAAATCCAGGAACACCACTAAAAGTGGACACTACTAGTCCAGAAATATATTTACCAACATACAAAAAGCACAGGATATTCTCCAAAAAGAAACCTTTTATGTAATTTCTAATATGTTACTCTTTCCTCCTATGCAATTACATCTTGCTGTAAATGCTGTAACATTCAACCCCCAAAGAGATTTCCCACTCTGTTTTGTAACCAGAGTATCTAACAATCTTGAAGATGGTTCTACATTTCAAGAAAACAAATCTGTATAGGATACACAGCATTTAGCTGCTTCTTTCAGGTTTAATAGTCCCAGTAGCAAGAAATCTGTGTATCTTTATGGATATGCTCAATTTGAGGCTTATTTTCTATGCAGTATTAAGACTCAAATAGGACAATTTGCAACAGGGAATGGATCTTTACTTCAAAGACCAATTAATCTGCATACCAGATTAAAATCAGATTCCTTCAATTACCTTCTATCATTCCCTTTCTCCAGTCCCATTCCTATTACTCGTCTACTTCTGGCATAAACTGAATATAGTCCTTGGCAGAAGTAAATCAACACAGTGTCTCACTTAGGTTCAAAAAAGATGTCATGCCGAAGAATACGGCTACAGAAAGAACAGATTGCAGAGACTGAAATATTTGGATAACTGTTTTCTATTAAAAGACTGTTTTAGAACATCTCGAACACATGCAGTTGTCAGTGTCTAATCAGTATGTGATAGCCTTTGCTATTTCATAGTATTTTTCTCCTTTACAGTAGAGTACTTTAATTTCATGAAGAATTCCATTTCCAGTCCCCCAATTTTGGATAGTATTCTCATGTACATAAATAGACGACCTGTAAAAAAATTCAGTTAAGCTATTGCTATTTTCTTAGCATTTACTTTAAATCTATATTCTTTGGGCACTTTTAATGTTCACTAAGATACACCCAAAGGAACAAAAGCATGAAACAGTACTAGGTCACTAGAAAAGTAGAATAAATACAAAGTAAATTGTGACTTACATCAAGGTTTTCATTTTCTGCAAGCTCTTTTGTCTTAGAAGTAAGAGGTGGAGAGGAAACAGGTGGAATAGGACTCATAATCTGGGAACTACACAAAGGAAAGCACATAATTGGCATGATTCAAAGCTCTTCCTTAGAGGCCAGGGAGCATGCATGAAAATCACAATGAATTTCACTTCCACAGCATAATAAATTCAGAAAACTGGAAGAGAAGTATCTTTGAAGGTAGCATCCCAACTCTGTTTCAGAACAAACTGCATGAACAGCAACTTTGACAGCTGCAGTTCTTGAAAACAGCAAAAATCTGTGCCTAGAAAGCTACACATTTTATGCCTGTGAAGGACATTCACTTAAACAAACTTCATTTTATTACATCTTCCATATAAAATAAGCAGACATAGATAGGAATTCAACAAATTGCATTTTCAGGAGCTTTCTCAAATGTTCTAAGATGAACTGCTAATACACAACATCTTCAAGCACTAGTCTTTCGAATGCAACTACATATAACAGAGTAGACAAATGCTTATTTGCGAGCCAAAGTTTTCAGATGGTAAATTTACCTGAAAGGAAGTCATTAAATAGCTCTCCTAACAACTAAGTATTACAGCCTCAAAATACACCACCCTTCCCACCACACCCACTTTAACAGCTTTGCAGAAAGAGCAATGAAAAGCTGTAGAACTGTAACACAAAAAATATACCCTTGTGTTACAAGTCATTTGAAGCTTAAGACTGAAAATCTGTAACAAATATTCACAGAGGATTTTGGTTACCAAGTTCATTCGCACTTTGCTTAATACTTTATTAGCTACCTCAGTCTTTCTTTTAGATTTCTGAGAGTATACAAGGTATGCTTCCACAAGTCTTCCCCTATACTTCTTTTGCAGAAGCAGGATGAAATCTCTTTCCACTTCAAATTTATCAGACTTTTACACCCACACTCTGATGAAATGGGAATGGAACCTCATATAACTTCATTGAAGACAACTTCTACGAATACAGAAGGAAGCAATGGCAGTGTTTTTCCTGCTCTACAGAAGTTTTATTCCTTTTGTGTAGTAAGATCAAAGGCCACAACTTTAACATTGTTTGCTCTGTAAACTATATGTAATCAGGAAACACATTTCATGAATGCTCAGGATTTGTTTGGTTTGATTTTTTCCTTGGATATTTTTTTAATGTTCAGATTATAAAACAGCATGTTGAATATGTAATGCTTCCCAAAAAAGAAGAAACAATTTGATGACTTAGAATTTTACATGTTTCTGCCTTTCTGCTCAAAGTCTAAGCTTCTTACCTGTCAGCTTCTTACCTGTCTATTTCTGGAGCATTAGAACTAGATGTTGTCATAGTTTCTGACATGGAGCCTTGACTGTCCCTCTTGCTAGGCTCCAGGCCATTCTTTATGTCATCAAAGTTTTCATACTTCAGTGCTTGGACTAACTGTAGCAGGTACATCAGCAAGTCCTTATGGAGGAAAAAAACGCAAGTGAAATAAGGGTGTCAGTCGAAGAAAACTATAACTCCTTCCATTTAAAAAATTCTAATTTACACATAAACTTAGTCAGAATTTATTAATTAATAATAGGATTTAGTCATTAGTGTTAGTTGTACTCTAACAGCATAGAAACTGAGGTCTCCCTAAACAAGCAATATACTATAGCAACACTGGTGTTGGATGCAGTTTTACTCCCAAAAGATACTGTATTATCATTCCACCACTCTTTGTTACTCAAAGACAGTAAATGCTAGTTTAGTGAATATTCAAGTGCAATGACTATTTTAAAATTCTTTTTAGCGAAGCTGCCCTTATTACCTCCAGCATCCAGAATAAAGCTTTCAGTTTGTGACTCGCAAGAAGAAAATTGAAAATTCAAGCATAAAATCTGGACTACAGTATCAAGAATGGATATTCTCTTCTCTTATGGACTATTTTTTAAAATCTTTTGTGTAGTTGGGGGTCTAAGAGAAAAAACACGTATCTAATCTGTTTTAGATTGAAGAACAGAATTTTAACCACTTGCTGTCTAAAATCAAATTTTTGCCTTTACCATACAGCTTTTCCTGTTTAGTTACCTTACAGTACTTTGTAAAAGGTCCTTTTTTTATGTCAAAGCAGTATGATCTAGGCTACTTAAGTAGGTTTGAAAAAATATATTTATGCTCACTATTTTAAACTCTATTGACTGCCAAAGATTCAAGACTTCAATGGTAATACATTCAAATTTGGGTTTATTGCGGTTTTTTTAACTGTCAAAATAAAACTTATAAATCATTGATATTGAACATATTAAGATTCTATTAAGTGGGCTCTATGCATAATCACAGCTCATCACATTCTAATCAGTATACAATTAGAAAGACTTCATTTCCACTGATAATCTTCAACTCATTTTCTTCAGCAAGAGTATGATGATATACTGCTTCAATTCACCAGATGTATCTGCTGAAAATCTTTTCATTGACTATTTAAAGCTCAGAGCACTTCCGCAGGTTTACACTTAAAATTTATCACTGGTTTTTGAGGAGAGCATACTGCTGTTTTACCTTGTTTAACAAAATCAGCTACTACTGGCTGTTCATGCTAAGACAATTATCAGTGTGTGATACATAATAATGTCAAGACAGCAGTTATTTTAAGCCGTTTATTTCAACCCAAAAACCTTAAAATAAACAGCAACACAGTGAACTGTCTTTTGTTTTCCTTCACCAATATTCCTAGAATGTCATAAAAAGTAGCAAACAAGGACTCAATGAGAGTAAAAATTCTGAGACCAGCTGACTTTTTCATGTACCCACAGACCAGTGAATACCTCATCATCAGCCTGCTGAAGCCTGGCGACAGCATAGCGCCGCACTGTAGGGTTGGTGAAGTGAGATGACAGAAGCTCCAGAGAGTCTTCCACATCCATGGGCTTCCATTTGCCCAGAAGCTCCAGTGCTTGCTTTGCCTCTTGTGGTAGATCCCAGTTGACACACTTCAGGAACTTTGTCAAGGCCTACATAGGAGATTGGACAATTCATCAGCAAAAAGCTAGCCAAAAGAAATTATTTCAAACATTAATGTCCACACAAAGGTAGAACTAGATTCAGACTATAGATACATCAGCACAGACCTGGAAAAGCTTACTGTTAAAAGCAAAGGAAAAGTAAAGGGAAAAAGGCCCTTTCCAGCCCAAACCATTCAACGACTCAACTTACCTTCTCCTGATGAGTAAGGTAATATCTGAATTTCCACACCAAATCCTGCTCCTCATATGTTAGTTGCTTTGTTGGTGGATAACTCACTATGATCTATTTAATACACAGTCAGAAAGTGAGTTTAAAAATGTGAACAGGAATACTCAACAAGTTAATAAAGTATACTGTGAGAAAGCACAACAATGACAACACAAAAACAGCTAGAGAAAAAAAAAAGTATTTTCAACAACACAAAGCTATGGCATCATAGTGATGCTCCTCAGTTATGCTGATCAGCATCAATGGTTGATTGAATTGACTATGCAGGCAAAGACGGTTGTTTTTAAGCGTACCATTCACACCTACATGATAGACACAAAATACACATTCTCAACCTCCCTGAAGGGTTTAAAAAAAAATAAATTAACAAGCACCTTGTGTTCCTTTCTGAGTTAGGCCCTTCTAACTAAGCACTCTGAAACATTTCATTCATTATTTTCTATAAACTGAAATTAACTGTATTTTCCTTAAGCTGTCACAATATATATTATTACCAACCTACCTAATAAAATTGAACTTAGCCATCATATGACTGACTTACATTAAGCTGGTCTCGTGTAGTTGCGTTAGGCTTCAGGTCATGATCAGACGGTCCACTTCTTAAACTTCGAGCAAGTTTGTGATGCTTGCTTTCTACTAAGTTCTCCTAAACGCAGAGGGTAAGTCAGTATTTATAAATACTAAATTTCAGAGAAAATTACTATTGAAACAAAACCATCCAGTGAAGACTTGCCAGTCTCTTGAAAAATGCATGAAGGCAATGAAAATTCAGATCTGAAAGTATAGCGTCTTCCGGCTTTTTTTTGTTTATTTTACAAAGAAACTCCTTTAATAATATGTGGAGGGTTGCTGGGAGTTTTGGGGGTCTGTTTCAGTTTATGACTTCATATTAACAAACCCTACCTTGCCTTTCAGTGAATTGCTGCAAAATGTAAGCATTTCAGTCAACACATACGTGATTGACAGCACTCAAACGTGCTAGACATTTCATACACATTTCCTTTAGAATGATGTTCGCAGCATAAAGCTTTGTATACAAGAAAAAACATCTCAAAAACTTGTCCCACTGTTAATACCATGTTAGCAACAGTAGGAGCTGCAATAGGAGCCACAGTGCCAACGAGTTTTCAGCAGCCAAGGCAGTTTCCAGCATTGTCACACTTGCTGTTGCAGTGTTAGATTGCACGGTGCTCAAACAGTGTTGCCAGTACAAGCCCACTTACATTAAGGTTCCCAAAGCTGCCAATACCAGTCCCACTGAATTGGCATCCACAATAATGGAAATCTTTTCTAGAACTGTATTTAGGCACTGTCTACATGAAAGACAACATACAAGAGAGTGCAGGGAGAAAATATTTTAACAGAGGAAGTGACCAAGAATTACTGCACCAGTCTCTAAATTCTATATTCCTCTTCTTCAGCTCCTTCTAATCTTCCCCCCCTCTGACCTCATTTACCAACAATCCCCCTTCTCTACTTTCTTACACCTCAGAAGTAAGCACATTAGGCATGGAAAAAAGGAGGTGAACACAAGTATTAAATCAATCCTTGTATTTTAATCTAGCAGCAGCAGAAATAGAAAAAACATAAATATAAAATTCAAACCCACTGGTATTTCTCAAGTGGTTAAATATATCTTTCCACTGGAATTTTAAAATATTTAAGATGGCAAGCTTTCATCTACACATATGGAAAGTTCAACAGTAACTGTAATACAGATGGCATTACATGGAGCATGCTTACCATAGACATCTGGGGATCTGGAATCTTAACAATTTCAGGACTTGTTAAAATTGGAGATGACTCATCACCATCCTGAATGACAAAAAGTTGAGGGCATATTAAACATCTCAACTTTTATGGAGAAAATATATCATATTAATGCATTGTAAACTCTACTACAGTGGAAAAATGATTCAACATCTGACACTTGAAAGGGGAAAAAATAAAATAATAAACAGATTATTTTTATTGTCTGTCTTTTTCCCAGATGACAAATGATGTGGCAAGACATGAAAGTTCACTGGAGGAGACACAGCTTGACAGCTCACTCCTATGCTGGCACACAGGTGAGAGGAGAAATTTGCCACCATTGTCACATGTCCTCTGGAAGCATGAAGAGAAACAAAACCAGGCTCTGTATTTCCAACAAACCTGAACAGATGTCTAGAAAACAGCACCACCTTGCAGAATATATCTCCTAAATGTTCAACATAGATAAATATAGAAAGATATATGTAACTACATCTGTCAGAGACTAGATGCTTAAGAGTCTAATGTGTGCTGCCTAAATAATGGAGAAGATTCCTGTTTGAATCAGACACAAAGAAAAAAAAAATTAAAAGCATGACACCATATTACCAAAGTAGCAACTCTGTCTTCCAGATACACAGCAGTGTGGTTTTGTGCTTTGTAATCTTCGGAGGGTAACTAAGCATTAATAAAAGCTGTGGAAGGACATTTAATTTAAAATACAGAATAAAACAGTCAAACTCAGAACAAAACAAGATCAGCATAACATGTGTTCTGCTATATTTATACTTAGTTTATTTTCATTTATTTTGCTGTAAATCTTAGATCAGAATATTTTTTGACATATCAACATTTTCCCCATGAAGTTTTGAGGTAACTTGCTCAGGTTCTTTCTTCCCTCACCCTCTTTTTTTTTCTACTTTTCCAACCACATATATCCTTTGGGATAGCTTTACTTTTATACTTTTCAGAGGTAACTTTCAAAGGAGAGGTTGTTTCAAGGGGAAGAATCATTCGTCGCTAACAAGACACATGAGTTAAAATTGCCATTAACCTCCCAGGAGTAATATATTTTTTTCCTACTACATAAATTTTGTGTTGGTGGGTACAGTAAAATATTTCTTATTATTAAAATGCTTCTTCAGAAAGACACTTAATTGTATTTACTAGTGTCCTGTGCCTTTCTGAAGAAACAATTTTGACAAAAGTCAAAGTAAAAGCAGTAAGAACACACATATCCTTCCTAGTTAAGGGAAATAAACATACAGGCTGACTGTCACTGGCGATGGTCCCAGAACATGAGGAGTTGCTTTTCTCATTAGTATTTAAAAAAAAGGATGTATGCAAACACTGAAAAGGCAAAGATGACATTTGCTTACAGTATCTTTGTTCTGAAAGCATACTGCCTAAATAATGAACTTACCTCTGACCTCACTGCACAGAAATAATAGCATTGAAGTATTTCCACAATGACATAGTATGCTGCATCACTAGCAGTAGACTAAACTGGGCTGGAGTCACAGTGACAGATCAGCATTCACATTGTACTAAGCCTCTGTCATCTTACCAGGTAGAATGCTCAGATTATGTCACAGTTTCATAAAACCAAGTTATATAAAAAAGAATGACATTTTTGCATGTGGGGGGAATCCTTCTTTTCATAAGCACATTTGATGTCAAATTGATTTCTATCTACCAATACTTTATCCTCCAGTTCTAAATTATAAGAATGCAATGTGACTTTGCCTTTATAGAAATAAAAGATTCCAATGTCCCAATGACAAGTCTCCACTCTGTTTGGAACCCTGACACGAAGATCCTGTATGAAAGACTTGACACAGGAGGGGATTCAGTAGCAACAAGCTACTAACTTGCTACTAACAAGCATTCAAACTCTTTATAGTATCATGTCCTGGGAGGATTCTCTAGGGATAAGCAGTAGTAACACCCATTGCTGTATCTTTCCTTCAGTGAAAAAGAAATAAAAATCAGATATATTCCTGGAAAAGGAAAGGTTTCAGACTAGTAAAAGTGGAGCACTTACCTCATAATTAGAAGTATGTGGCAGACATTAAAAATTCAAAACTCATTAGGATGAGAATGATAAAAGCACTATTGTCTAAAGTTTGCTTACTTACAAAACTAAAAAAAAAAAATAAACAAGCAAAGCCTTCCAGTGTGTGATGTCAAAATGTTTACAAATGAAGGTTAAGGAGTTTTTCTCCACAAGACTACTGTTAAAAGAATGATTTGTACACTCATTGCTGGCAACTCTTTTTGGAACCTTTCAAAAGAATCATGATAATGACTTTATTTTAAACTCTTTAAATGCAGTCAAATTATGCTGTAAAGTGAAGTTGACAAGTTTGAGCTATTCAGTTCAAGCACCAGGAAAACCATTCTCAGTGTTTCACTGCATGACAGAGCAAAGCCTGAAGCTCAACCAAAACTTGTCATGAAATCAAGTATTTCCAAGCATTTGTGGGACAAGTTATGGAGTCAAGAGTGATCATTTTGAAACAGACTGTTTAATGAAATACTCAAGTAGGCACAGTGACATTAGCTGTCCTGTGAAGAATGTCAGATGTTTAACTACCCTTCTGTAATTCTCCATTATACCTTGAAAGCAACAGGTGCAGCATGACAACCCTGACCATACAAACTTACTAAACCAAACCAATTAGCACTTGAATTTGGCCAAGTGCATCCTTTTGAAGTGTCCTTCCTGATCATGCCCATGCAGACAGCTTTAGTTCACCTCATGGAAATCTCAGAATTCCCTGACATTCTCTGTCAACAACCATGTGGGAATGTGAGGAAAGACAGACCAGAGCACAAGAACATGGTGCAGACACTGGGCCTTTAGCAGCCTCTTCCCCAAGTGGATCTGTTCCTCTTGGCTGCAACGCTTCCTAGCACAGCCAGACCCTGAGAAGACCTGCTATTTTGCCACCAAGAAACAAAAGCAACATCAGTACTAAACAGCACTAATTTGCTTTAAACTGTGGTGTTACAGAGCTCTGCAGATATTTCATTACAATAAGGTCTTCACAGTAAGGTGTGTGACTTTATGCAAATATTAGAGTCCATTTAATACAGTCCACAAAATTTGCAGAATCTTCCAAATCAGCAACATTCCTCTGTACTAGCCCAAAAATCAGTTTCAGAGCATAAATAAAGAGGCTCTATTTATCCTATTCTTTAACCAAAACACCATTTAAAGTAACACAAATGCAAAAAAAAAAAAAAGACAGAAGTAGTGTAGACATTACTTCTTCCTTTAAATACATAAAAGATCTCTGACAATCAAATTTATCTATCTTTTTTAATAAACTGGATGCAGCAGTGCAATCATTTACCCAAAGATGTGCTTCACTTGAAACCTGCACAAAAATATATTAGTGATAAATGCTGGTGTTATTTGTATATGGTAAGTTACACAGAATTTCTGCCTAAATGGAGAATCAAAAGTGATGCTGTCATTACTAGCAGACCCTATCCCTCACGTCTTGAGTGCTGTATTTAAATGAAGTTAACAGAGAACATGGAAAGAGACACCTCCAGCTCACTTCATTGTAAATGAATGCCAAGTCAAAGAACCTCAAATCCTATCAGTCGCTGTTTAACAGGCTAGTTCTTCCTAAACACTTGAAAACAAATAAATCAACAAAACAGTGACAAGTAATCTCCACTAAGACTATCGGTCACAGGCAGGTGACAACAGAACCTTCTTTCATTATGCTTGGTGCACTGGATTGGTGATGCCTGATGCAAAGACTGCAGACTGTAATTGGAAGCATGACAAAACTGAGAAAACAGGCACTAATTTATGTATCATTTCCTACTGCTGTCAGAAAAGGGTCAAGAACTTGTTGCAAAGCTACTTTGTAACAACAAACCCCTCAAACTGCAGTTAGTTATAGCTCTAATATGTACTATTACACATTCAGTTACTTTATTTCTTCAAGAGCAGCCAATTCATAGTTATTCTGTTCCATGTACTTTTAATATGCTTCAGAAACATCTGCTAAAAGAAAGATGCATGATTGGAGTCTGAATCCTCTTTCCTGTATTGTGCACATCTATAAAACCATAATGATGGGGAAAAAAAGCCATGTGTGTAAATCAGGAATAATTCATTTAAATGGCAGGTTGCTGGCGGTAAGGGAGAGAAGTAATTTTTAGGAATGCTATGTTCATTTATAAAAAGAAATAAGTCAAGAGGACACAAAGCCACATGCTCCTATGTTTGCAGCTGTGAAAGGTATAGCATGGTCTCATGTAAAGAGCTAGCTGTTAGTGAAAAGTTTCAATATTTTGATCATATTCTGATATGCTCTCCAGATGAATATTTCCTTAATCTACACAGAAGTAAATAATTTAATTTTGTTCTTGGGGAAATCTGACACATTGTAGGTTTCACTGTGATCAGTAACACAAGATAATTTTGCAACAGCACAGTCCTCTACAATTGTTGGTTCTAGGTTAAGTGTACAGAAGCACTAAGAAAAAAGCTATTCTAAAGGCAAAAGGATACCAAATGTGTAGAGGTCTCACTGTACAGTCCCAAAAAAGAAATGCAAAACAGCTAGACAGCTGCCTAAGACACACTTTCACCCACATTACCAAAATGCACCAAGAAATTAAAGAAGAAACCAAAATTCACCAAGAAACTAAAATAAATGGAAAACAAAGTCACAAAAACAAAATCAAATCAACTCTCTCCCCCTCCAACCAAACTGTGCCCTCAGAAAACATTCCTGAAAGCCAAAAAACTCGAAGTCTTAAGTTGCAATATATCAAATAGTTGAAGCAGATTCTGATTTTTTTTTTTTTTTAATCCTGACTTTTGCTATTTATTACTGTGTTTTTCACTGCCTTCTTCAAGAACTTGAAGTTAGATCACAGCTCTTTCAGTCCAGGTCAACCAGTAACAGTCAAATAAACAGAAATATTTGCAATCTATTTTCTATCATATTAACATTGTGTGTCCCAAGTCAAGTTTTTTTTAAAATTCCCAAAATAAATGCTGCTTAAAATTAGTGTCCCTGGTCTCAGGAGCACTCTGAGGTTCTTCTTCTCCCTTCTTCCTCTTTGCATTAAAGCTGCATTATTCAGTATCTTTCTGACTTCTTACAAATCCAAACACAATGAAAAATCTAAGAAACAATTTTATTTGAAACCAGGATTACAGCTATGCTGCTTTTTCCATCTTAGTGGTCTTTTCACAATACACAGGACCTTAAGAGTGATAATGCCTTCCAATACCACATTGATGTCTGTTAAGCTCACTGTTCACTGTTAATCCTTCCTCCCATTAAATTTTAACTTTACAAAAATATGAAGGCATTACTTTGCAGATCTGTTTCATAAACAGCAAGATGCAAGATATTCCAATCCAGAAGCCTTTTACTTAATTACTCCACAGCATTTTCAGTACAAAAGACTAAACTTCTATTTGTATTTGTTCATTCCACAGAAAATGTTCACCTGCATAGCTCCTGTGCAAAGTTTTAATAACTCATCTTTTACAAAATTACCACTCCATATAGGTACATTTCCTCCAGATCTAAGTCATAATTTTACATACAGCTACTAGGAAAGTACTGCTGGATGACTGAAGGAACTATAAATCAGAAAGTTTTTAATCACTTACACTTGTTAAATTCTGTAATCTTGAACTCTATTACACAAATGACTGACATCTGCAATCTTGTTGCATCTATACTATTTGATTTATATGTACATAAACAGTTGCCACTGACAGCTGTCTGCTCTTCTACTGCAGCAGGATATTTCATCTCAGCAGAAAAACCCATTCATTTTAGGTGCATATGCTGCTTTTTAAAGACAACCATAAAGCCTGCAGGGCACATACCTTTTCGTAGTAAACTATTCCATATTCTTTATCATCACACTTGACACAACGGAATTCAATCATCAGGTACATAAAATTGGAGCTTCGTTTTTCCCTCTGAGGAAAGAGCCACCACAGATGTGTATCATTTATTGCAGGGCATCAATCTTCGGCATTCTCAGCACAGCAATTACCCTACATCCTTTGTGCTGTAACTGATTAATTAGGTTATCAGCTGTTGTAGCAATTATTTAGTTAATCATTTCATAGAACTACTTGAGACTATATCACCTTCCTGAAGTTCTTACTACCTTACATTCCCACTTCATGATACATATTCGTGCTTAACAGATGAAAACCTGTTTTCATCAGCAGCTTCCAACTGTGGGCTAAAGGTATAAAAAAATGAAATGCAGAATAATCAGATGACCACTGGGTAGTTGGCGTTTGTTTTTTTTTTTCTAAATCATTACCTATAATTATGTATATCAAAGCAAAAATACCAGAAGATATAGCAAAACCAAATCATTTTTTTAAACCAACTTCATGAAAGAGACAAAATAAACTTGGACTACAAGATTAGATTTGCAGCTTATTGATCTTCAGAGAAAGATTTGCTCATTTTTTAAATGCTTTACCTAGAGAAAGTGCTTAGAATTTTAAAATCTGGGTGGAAAACAAGAAAGAAGTTTAACAATGAGTAATTTCAGTTCATTTAATGCATTCAAAATAGCTTGACTTTCCACCACAGATGAAGTAGTTTCCTGTTTAAAGCACAGGTCTTGAAACTTATTTCACTGTACTTTTACTGTCAGTGAAGAGGAAAAATTAAAGAAAAAAAAGGATAATAAAGATGATAGGCTAATTTCTAAAAAACATCAACATATTTAGAGAGGCTTATAAAACACAGATTTTAGTTTAAAAAAGAATCTGACTTTCAAAGCTCTAGTTACCAATAAGACAACAAAACTCTCAGGGCTCAGGAAAAAGCAGTCCTCTGTGCAAGATGAGCATACCAAATTAAAGAGTTTGAGTTGACTTTGCTCAATGAGGGTTAAAATCCCATTTAGGCATTAAACTACCAGATTTTATTTTTTTTTTAAATATTCCTTCAAAACTTACAAATGTCTTCTCAGCAACCAAAGTTAAAAAAGTAAAGCTGAACAGGTCTGAAGCCAAGGAACAGGCCAAATGTCTAAAAAGCTTCCCATCACAATCTAAATCCTGGAGATAAGTTAGTCGTGCCTAACAGTGTTTGTTCCAAGCTGTTCCAAATTATCAATAAAGCCTGTCTTCCATGATCAAGTTCACTTGAAGTTGAAAACAGCTAAGACAGCTGTGTACCATGGTGGATGAAATGCTGGACATAACCTGGCCACAAGCACTGGCTGCTCTAAAACCAACTCTGTACTGAGCTGCTCCTTAGCAGGGTGGGCAGCAGGTCAAGGGAGGAGACTCTGCCCCCCTGTGCTGTGAGACCCCAACTGCAGAGCTGCATCCACCTCTGGGACCTTCACATGAAAAAGATGTGGACCTGATGGAGGGAGTCCAGGAGGCCACTAAGATGCCCCAAGGGCAGGGGTACCCCTCCTCTGCAGACAAGTTGGGAGATCTGGGGGTGTTCACTCTGGAGAAGAGGAGGCTCCAGGGCTTTTAGAGGCCCTTCCAGCACCTAAAGGGGACCAGCAGGAGAGCTGGAGAGGCACTTTAGACAAGGGCATGAAGTGAGAGAACTTTACTGTGAGAGTGCTGAGGCACTGGAACAGGTTGTCCAGAGAGATGGTAGAAACCTCATCCCCAAAAACATTCAAGGTCAGCCTGGACAGGGCCCAGAGCATCCTGATCCAATTGAAGACGTCCCTGCTCATTGCAGAGGTCTTGGACTAGATGACCTTTAAAGGTCCCTTCTAAACCAATCTATTCTATGATTCTCATTATTGCTAAAGTAATATCAACTTCAGGCTTCCAGAGAACTACTTTTTCCTTTACCCTATGCACTGGCAGTTGAAGAAAAAAACCAAACAATTAAGAGAGTTACATCTCCTAAACAAGTGAAGGTTCATATTAGCTCGATAAAACCCCCCAAAACTCCAAACCTGATGTACAATGACTTACCTCATTGATCATTTCTATTTCTCTAAAGGTGAGTCTGTCCAGCCAATCCACTTTCACCATGTGACCTTGCCGATGAGATTTGGTGAGCTGCATGAAAAAAACACAATGATAACATTTAAGTTGCTCAGAGCAAGAAGAAAACCAAAGCTGTAATAGAGATACTAATATGAAGTCAGAAGAAAAAAAATAAAGGAATTGAAAAAAACCTCTCACCTTGTACAACATACACAGTGTAACACAGTACACACCTCGTAAACAACCAAACCATGCCATAAAAGTAAGTCTACTATCTAAAATACCAATCCCAGCAAAGACCATAATAATTATCCAAGCACATCACCTTTGCATTTTTAACACAACAAAAACAGAAACTTATTTCTTAACTAAGGTAATGTAAGAAAGGCATCCTATTTTTGTATTACTGTTTCATACAGTAACACTTACCAAGCCAAACAAAAATTAAGTACTTCAAAAATTATACATACTGAATAATTCTGCTTGTGTCAACTTTATGTAAACAGGTTTCCAGACTGGGACTATAACTGGGTCAACTGAACATCTTAGACCAAGTCATAGACAGCTTGCTCTCTCCTGTAGTCATTTGATAAGTAGCTCAAGTTTCATTCCTATGTTTACAAATTGCTGTAGCAATAGCAAGAAAGTTGTTTAAAGGACTCATTAAGAACAGAAGATAAGATGAGAGCATACTACTTGTCATTTCAGATACGCTAACACAATTGTTTATGAAACATCCAGAAGTAGACCACACAAATACGAAGATTGCTTTTTCAGCTGCTAAGGAATGACAAGTGTTCTTCAAAAAAAAAAAATTAGTAATTATTTCAGAATGCAAGAGATGCAGAGGGACTAGAAAACATGAAGCTCCCTCATCTCTTAAAGAAATTAGTATCTGTCTAAAAAACAGGTAGCAAAGAGACCCCTCAAAATTACTCTTATTAGGAAAAAGGTTACAACCATTATTACGTTAACTTTGTTCTGTGGTCAGCCTGCCCACCCATGAGCATCTGAATGTGAACATGCCATAGTGACACCAACTGCCACTTTTTGCCTAGCTAGGGGACAGGCAATATACAGAGACCAGGGACAACAGGAATGAAGGTACTGGATGCAGGAGAACACAACAGCAGCCTGCTGCTTCCACACGGAACTGGAGATGGTCTAAGTACAGAAAAACAACACAGAATATTTAAGACTTGGGGTACACTGGGAGATGTCCAGGTTGCCCAGTCTGTCAGATATGTGCACTAGACCTTCCATAGCTCAGCACTGGAGGTACACTAAAAATAAAAATGACTGCAAAGATAGAGAAGTGAAGAGTTTGCACCAATTGTACAGTATTCTCCCTCAATCCTCACTGATGTCTTAACAGTACAGGCACAAGTATGTTGGTCTAAAGTCAGTCTAATCAAAATCTTGGGGCAAAAAAACTTGATCACAAATTCTTAGTTCATTTTCTTGTTCACTGCACAAGAGAATAAAGTAAAAAAAAAGTTATTCTGTGTGTTTCAGAAGAAAGTTATTAATAAAATATAATTTTTAACCTTTAAACCTCCCTTATAGAGGAAAAAGTTGTAATACAGCAATTAATGAGGTCTGCATACAAGATCTGGAAGATCTGTGAGCATATAGATACACATGAAGAACTGTTGTCTTGAATTAATATTTAAAGTTTAAAATAAGAGAGAAGCTGGTGTATCCCCTTCAGGGAAAGAAGCATTCATCATCAGCTACAAAGTATGATGCATCCCTTTAGATAGTATCTCAACATTATTATTATCTAATTTCATTCAGCCAGCTGAAGGTGTGAGGGAAATAAATGGATCAAAAAGACCTAGAGTATTTTAAGTTTAAGTAGAATAAATTAACACACCACTCATGGGAGAAACATCTTAATGTCATTCATGTTTGAGCATGCTAAAATATTCCACACTCTTCCCATTAGTATTCCTTAGTACACAAAAAATCTGCATTCATAATGCCTCCAGAATGCAAAGCCATGTTTTTTTCATCAGGAGCAGTTTTACTAGCAACATTCATGTGTTTTGTGAGAGCACAACCATATGGCACCTCAACATGAAAGGGAAGACTTGCCACAATATCAATTATTTAAGGTAAAAGGCTGCAACTCCTTGACCACCTAGTCATTGGTTTTATACAAATTCCTTGTAACAATAAAAAACACATACAGACATACACTCAGAAGCATGTCAAGAGAAGTTATCTTTCAGATGGAGAAAATATTTTTCACAAGCTCTTCTCCAAAGTTACCTGTTATCTGAAGGACTCTAGTTTGGGCTCTGGTACCAGATACCAATCAATACCACAACACTGGACAAGTCTGTTCAATAAACAAAAAAAAACCCCAAACCAAGAAAAACAAAGTCCACACAAACTCACTGTGTACATACCCAAGTCTTAGTCTTTTTACCTATATTTAAATATACCTTCACACGGAGTAGCATGAGGAGGCATTCAGAAACTTATTCTGTGAATAAGTCACAGAAAAACTGAAGCTGATTGTGTTTGAACAAAGGCTATTTAGGGGTGACACATTACAAGAACCTTCTCTGCTGTGTTAACAGCTGTGCAAATGAAAGCTCCCATACACACGCTACTCAGAAACCCTACTAATTTCCCTAGCATCTGATGGCAAAATGGTTTTATTAAAAAAAACATAACAAAATATCAGTAAAAACACAACTCTTTCAGAAATTATCATCTCCCAAAACAGAAGAGAAGAATGGGGGCAGTGATGCTACTAGCTTTCTAGAGCTCTCTTTCTAGAACTTTTACTAGAACTCTCAAATAGGATGTGAAAGAATTCCACCTATTTCTCAGAGGCCTTGGGCCATCATCTTCCAATTGCCAAAAAAAACAGGCTAAAATAGAATAAACTATTTTAAGACTAAAGTATTCTACTTTATTTGTACTTTTTGAGCTAGAGAGAGAGAATGGCAATGCTTGCATAACAGAACTAACATGAAAGGGATGCCCAACACTCTCAATGCCTTTCTCAGAAAACCACTACATACATCACATGTGATGAACTGGAAATAAGACTTGGTATTTAGCATCTCTTTACAGAGTTTTCTTAGGTCAGAGGGCATTTATTCCACCGTGATCAAGAAACAGGGCACCAGCAGCTTTAATGAACTTTCCATTACAAATTCAGCGCAAACTGCACTAATAAAACAGAGACCTTTAAATGGAAGTTAATTTATCACTGTCATAAATCTTTAGATGAGAAAATGGTTGTATCTTTCAGTGTGAGTCCTAGAAGGTGTACAAAAAACCTGGGAGACTGAGATTAAGAAAAAGCTCACTGAATAAGTGCATCACTGAATCACTGAATATGTGGACTGAGGAGTTTGGAAAGCCTGGGTTAAGCTTACCTGAATAATCAGAGATCAGATAGTGAAACAGTCCACTAACACACTGATGAATTCCAGTAGTTTTGATTGCAAGAACATACTCCGCCACCAAAAGCTTGGAGGTGAAAATACTAATATACATATTCATGAGCTTAAATGAATGAAACTTGGGTTAATTTTTGAAATTGTACTCAAGTTCTTTCTAATGCAGAGGTATGTCACACACTTCCGAACACTATGCCAGACAGCCTCAAAGCTAATGGATGGAGAAACCAGACTACCTCACAAGTCACTGTTAGGAGATGCTCTTATTAAACCTGATGGAATTTTGGCTTTAAGTATCCTCAAGGCATATTCACATTTTCATTCTTTACAAAGAATTTAGATCTTAAGTTGTTCCAACAGAATGCTATGTGTATTAGAAGGTTTTTAAAAAAAAAACATTTCAAAAGCAATTAAATATTATCCGCTTTACTCCTTTGTATAAATCCTGTGAAACACCTGTTTAACCAAAGGAAGAGAGCTCTCACATGAGAAAACAGCACAGGAAGCTGTTTTCATTTCTCTCCAGTGAAGTGCATGCTTGTCACAAATATTTTAAACATTACTTGCTATTCCATTACCTTTGCCAAGCGGCTCATTTGATCTTCAGAGACTGTACTGCTGGTTCTCCCAGGAGTTTTGGTGGGCTCGGAGCCATCAGCTTCTACATTGGGCCAAACTTTCAAGTCATGCATTCCTTGTCGAAACATACTGAAGGGAAAAATGCAGAATCACTTCAGAAAATTCAAAATAATATATCTGTCAAGAATCAAAGTTCAGCAGCTGCTGCAAACAAATGAAGTGGCTTCCTTCATTATTTGGCAAGTGGAAGAAAAATGGGTAATTCCCAAAGTCAGTGCAGTGGTACAAACACAAAATGAGGAGAGAGCTTGACCTCCATAGTTTTATTATTTCTAATGAAGAAGAAAGTATTCTTGACTTGCAAATTATAACAGTAACCCTAGGTCTGCCAGTATGAAAAAAAATCAACTAAAAACTATCCATCTAAGTTCCATTTGAAAGTCAACAGACATAAAGCAGCCTCCTGAGCAGCCAAATAAAAAACAAAAACAAAAAAACAACACACCAAGCAAAAAAACTCTCCAACTCTTCACACACCACTTTCTCCATCAATGCTTGAAATTGAATTGACAATTGAAAGTGTGCAGTGAACAGAACCTTGCAGGGTAACGGACCACATCTTTCCTCTGCAAAACCCTGCTTACCTTGCATGTATGTGCTGATCCTCCCCTAAAAGATGGCTCAAGGAATGAAGTGCATTATCTTTGCCAATAAGAGCTGATCATTTAACTCTAACAACTTCAGGTAAATACATCTGACAGGAACATTTTAAAAAGTGAACCATTAAAAATGAGAAATAACAATTAGAAAGACCATTTGACCTTGAATTTACACATCACATAGATTAGTACTACAAGGCTTTTAATTTAAAAATTACAAAATTTTAATTCAAAAATTTTTTGTTGGTTTCTCTCCATCTATTTCATGCAAGTTCCAAATGCTGGAAATAATACTTATAAATGAAATTTATTTTTATCTTTCTTGCTTTAATGCTTTAACAGCTACAGCAGTCTTTGGGGCACAGTCCAATTGATCAGATTCAATTTTTTTGCCTTAAGGCAATATCATTCTTCTTCGTTAAAGCAAAATTCTCAATGAAAGAGATACAACCTCTCTCTATAGTCACTTTCTGCATTCAAGCATCATTAAAGCAGCTTTCCTAATCTAAAGTTTTCCTGCACTTCAGTCTAATCTTATTACTTCTCATCCACTGGCAAGACAAAACAGGCTATTTCTCCCCATTTTTCAGCAGTATGTACATACTAGAAAAATGTTCCTACATTCTTCTTTTTCAGTCTGTCTAGGCATAACACTTCCTTCATCCTATTTGCTAGACGTTCAATGATACAGACTCCCAGTAGTCAAAAATTTGACTGAAGTTGGTTGGCAAGAACAGAACACAGCCCAGCTGAGTGGAAAAGGAAAGGATAAGAAAAGGAAAGGAAAAGTGTATGTGTCTCTGATGCACATACTTGTAAACCGTTTATGTAGTCAATGTTCTTTGCACATTTTACAAGAGCACCATGATGCTAAACCACACAAAATTTAAGATTCACACTAAACTCAGACTGCTCCCCACTCTGTATATAATAACAATCAATTGAAAAGAAAAAGTACCTGTGCCTCATAATCTTCCTTAGACCACAACCTATTTTTTCAGACTACTTAGCATTCAAGCACACTTGTAATCCTTCCCACCTTAGTCTTATCATCCACAAATTTACTGAACACACCCTCTATTGGATCATAACATATTAACTTTGAAAAGTGCTGATTTACTGAGTGAAATTTTACTCCCTATAGATAACAGTGCATTCACAGCCTAATTGCAAGCCAATTAATTTTTTTAAAAAATTAATCAGTACTGGCATCCATGCATTACAAGCGTGTAGATGTGAACTAATTTCAGCACTTGCCATCTTAAAATCCAAGCTGTTATACAGAAGACTTGTTTTATACAACACTGGAGCAAGTGTGAAATTACACTCAGGAATAAGTGGAGCAAATCACCTACACATCTGATTTTTCAAACATGGAACTGTTAACCTAGTTTAGAAAATATTTATAAACTTATTTATCATAACCATGCTATGTTACTATTCACAGGTGAGCTTCAGATTTGCACCAGATAAGAAAAAGCAGTATACCCATATTTTCCAAAGAGCGAGACCGTTGTTCCTCCCACAGGAACAGCTTTACCAGGTCCATACACATCCCAGATGGTCAGAGCCACCTGAGCATTTCGAGGCAGGTCTGGATACTTCACAGGCAGTTTCAGCCACTCATTCCAGCTGCAGAGAAACACTCTTTATTAGTCATAAAGCTTTACAATTCAAGTTACTCTCTATTAGTCTACACAACCCAGATTCTCCTCAGAATAAAAATTTCTTAGGACAGATGGACTATTTTTCTGTGGGCTTTAACATTTAAACATCTGTCTGGAGCATGACTAAAAGGCTACAGACCAAAAGAAAAATATTTTGTCTTGATGACTGAGTAGCAAGGATCAGGCTGTCAGCGAACAGGATGAAAACGTATCACTCCAGGCCCCAGAAGTTACTTAAGTAGCAAGACATGCCCAAGCACACAAGTAAGAATTTTATCACTTACCTTTTACACAAAAGGGTTGGTTTTGTGCTGGATGGATTAACACTAACCATAGGGACACTTGAAGAAACAAAAGCCATTTTGAAGAAGACAACAGAAAAAAAATCTTTCTGCCAGAAACAAATACTTGATGCCCCACTAACTATGAGCAATATGAAATAAAAGTCAAGCCACTTACTTCCATCTAGTGCTAAAAGCCTTGTAGGAAGTTCTAACTGGAAGAGCAAGAGGCTTCCCCTCTGCGAACACCTGACAAGTTACATACAAGTCAGAGCAAGTCTCTTGGTAGAGTCCCGAGAACTTCAGCATCGGATCCTCTAGGAGAGCTTTGTAGCTTTTCTGTTCTCTTTTCCCTTCCAGACTTCCTCTACGAGGGAGAGGGCAGGGGAGGAAAGGGAGAAAACATAAATAAACCAAAATGTATTCTATCCATAGTAGAAATCCTATTACATTTCTATAGCTTTAATTTAGATTACCCAGTACTGAGGCTATCCTCACTTTGCATGACTTGTTTGTAGTGAAATCCAAACACCAGAGAGGAACTCAGGATGTGAAATGCTGAGCAAACACGGAATGTATTGCTGTACTGATTTAGGTGGGGGTGGGGGAAAGAGCAGGGAAGGCAAGAATTACTTGTTTGTCTTTTAAGTGGAGGTAACTTTTTCTACTACAACCTGTGGATTCTCAGACAGACCTTAAGCAGGGCAACAATAAATGAGAAGACGTATGCTGCTATTGCTAAAAAAAACCAAAACAAACACCAAATTACATGTGTTCCAAATACCACTTGGAAAAATAAAACCCGAAACAACTATGGTAAGTAAATCTTTATTTTTTTAACATCTATTAATTGTATGACTGGTTTTGGAAGTCAATCATCTCTCAAATTCACAACAGAATAAAGCTCAATTAAGCAGATTGTTCAAATAAAATTTGGTTAAAGCCTTGCAGCAATGTTACTGGTAAGAGGAATTGATGGAATTTCTCAGGCATCAGCTATACTACAGTGAAAGCAGTCATACACATTAGATGTCTGCGGATGCACAAGTTAAAAAAAAAAAAAGGAAGTGATGTGGTGGTGATGGGAAAACATGTAAGACCAATCCTCCACCAAACAAAAACCTATTTGTTTCCACATTTTCCATGTATCTGTTTCCAATGAAAAAACACTTCAGAGTAAACGAACAAGTTACTTGCATGGAACTAGCACCACACATTCTAAGGATGATATACACTTCAAAAGCTAAAGCTAAAAAAAAAAAAGAAGCTAGTTTTAATTTTGTTTGGTGAAATGAAATATCAAAGAGATCATGTGAATCTGACTCCTGATGGAATAGAATAGTGTGGGCTGGCAGGGACCTTAAAGATTATCCAGTTCCAACCCCTGTCATGAGCAGGGCCGCCTTCCACTACTATCACTTGTTTAGTGATAGTTAAGATAGAACTTAACTTGTAAGTTAAACCCTTAATAAGCTTCTCCAAGTTAGATTGCCAGAAAAGTGAAACATACTTTAACATACCACCATTGGGTACACTACATTTGAGAATCAGCCACATCCCTCCTACACCAAGCATCTCTTTGCTGTGATGAAGAAAAATAACTTAAAAACAAACAAAAAATCGTATCACTGTGTGGTAACTGCTGCTTCAACAAAAGTGCTTCCACATGCTCAGGCAGAAATACATTATATTTACATGCTGCAGCACCTAGATCTTTCTACACTAAAAGTGCCCACTAAGAGCACAATGCTTTCACAAAAGTACGGAAACAAGCAGGAAGAGTGTCACCAGTTTATCTCTTCCCCTTAACACTCAGGAGTGAGCTGTGACACACTCGTGGCCCTGCAGTTCTTGAAGGGAACTTACAGGAAAAAAATTGGCAAGACTATTTACAAAAGCATGTAGTGACAGGGCAGGGGAGTTATGCCTTCAGACAGTGCAGCTTTAGATTAATTAGAAAAAAATTCTTTGTTGTGAGGGTATTGATGCATGTGATGTATTGGCACAGGCTGCTCAGAGAAGCTGCGGCTTCCCCATCCCTGGGAGCGTTAAAGGCCAGGCTGGACAGGGCTGGGACCAACTTGGGATAGTGGAAGCCGTCCCTGCCCGTGACAGGGGGTGTAACAGTATAGGCTTTAAAAGTCCCTTGTACCGCAAACCAATCTGTGATCCTATGACAGGTGAAAGGCTATGCGAGCCTTCACTGACAATCGCTGCCTTGGAGCACCTGAGGACACGGCACATCTGACACGCGTCCGCAGCACAGATCCAGCCCGGCCCCTCGCCAGCCCCGTCCCGCCAGCCTCCCTACGGGCCGGGACGCTGGCAGGGACACGGCACCCGGAGCTGAGCCGACACCGCCGGTCTCCGGGCACCGCCGGGCTGCGACACCAGCGGACCCCGTCGAG